AACCCAAGATGTGCATTCGGACCATTCCATGATAAACCCTTACATTCGGGCGTTGTTAATCCAAAGACTACGGGTACAATTTTGGGGTTGGTTTACAAGGGAAGCCAGAGGGAAGCTCAAATTGTTCCCCCAGCTTCAAATGGAGCCGTGTCTTTTTGTTGGGAATTCCCTCTTTTTGGCGGGTTTTTATGGAAAACCAAAAGGACGACCGCCATGTTGGGCTCCCAAGAAACAGAGACGCCCAAATGGCTATGGGTCCAAAACATGTACCAAATGGCACCTTAGTAAATGAATCCAAAGACTAAAACCTGCGGTCCCCAGCTTTTTCATGTTGAGGCACACTGAAATGTTGATAGTTTTTTAATCAACCCCAGTAATCAACCCCAACAGGTCCACGCCCAAATGGGGTGTTCCAGCGGTTTGTTTGCGGTTTTCCGTGGCCAGCTCTGGGTCGCTTCACCGCTTCAAACAAGCCGCTGAGCAGGCCCTGGATTTGGAGCTCCCATCAGGCGAGCAGTGGCTGAAAAAACCGGCGGAAGGTTGGGTCAAAGTGATATCCCGCGAAGAGCACAATAGCAGCTACCAAAGACGGCCAGTGGCTTAGGATTTTTTTTTGTACATACATATTATATATATATATATATCTTGTAATTATTGTCCCCTGGTTGTGTCAAAGGAAATCTAAAGCTGTATTTTGTTTTAAGGGGCTCAGGCAAACGGAGGAAGATAGCCCGAGAGATCAAGGCACAGCCGCCAAGGGTTTTGATTAAGAGACAGGCAGTCGGAAAGGACCTACTGTGGATGGACGCAATCCTGCACCGTCTAAGAAGCCCTGGAGTGATGGTTCCTCTATAAATACCAAGAAACAATGGGTTCAACCATGCTTTTCAAGTGGTGCGAAATGGTTTTCGTTTATCCACAGTATCACTTCCATCAATTCAAAGGGATTGACACACACCTTGCAACATGGAAGGATGCGAACTTCCTGGCTGTTGGTACTTGGATGTTTGATTCCCCAAGTTAGTGAGGGGGGATCGCCACTTGTACCCCTAACAAGGTTGAACGGGGGACTTAGAAGTGAGGTATAACCTAGCTAGGCTACCAACAACTTACTAACTTGGCCGAACACCCACGTAGGACAAGCGGCGCTGCACTTGACTTCAGAGAGGGGGGAATCCCGCCAAACACACCCACCATTGCCAGACGGTGTTTCGCCTTTTGAGTATTAGCCTTTCTGTTTTCCAGCCTGCTCAATTTCAACCGAGCAAACCGAGGAAACAGTTTTGACTTTCTGCGCGCCTAAGTCTGGTCAAGAAAAGACACACCCACTTGTCCCCTTGAGACTGGCCTGGACCGGCTTGCCCTTTTTGAGGAGGGATACCTCTGCGTGCCATTGCCCCTCGGGTCCATGCCACCCCGATGGGGGAGCCATGCGACTCCGGCAAAAAAGGCCGAAGTCGCATCCACGGGTGGGATAGATCCAAATTCCTGTTGGTTATTCTTTGGAATCGCACGATCGATCCCAATTCCTGTTGCTTACCCCAAGGGAATCGCAGCAGCAAGAAAAGGAGAACCTTTTCCTCCCGCACCAAAAGCATTCTAGTGGATTTGACGGGTTTCTAGAGGGGAATTTGACCAGTTTTTGGAGGGAACTGGACCGACGGATCCGTTCCGCGCGGATGCCGAGCCATAGCGCCATTCCGAGTCGATCGAGTCGAGTCGAGGGCGCTGGAGTGACGCCGACCTGGAGCGCTTGTCGCGGGCCATGGATGCGCCCGGAGGCCCTGCGCGAGAGCGCGAGACCTGAGATGGGGGGGGGGTTCTATTTTGTCCAAAAGGATACTTATCGTGATATCAGTGAATTGGTGGCTCGGCGGTCTTTCGGGCGTGGTGTCTCATTTGCCGCCAACTCGTGCATAGTTCCTTGTCAAGCTAGAGGGTTGCCCACAACACACTTCAAAGAGCAAAGTGCATTGGGTATAGGTTGAAGAACCATTTTTCCATGGTACATACATTCTTTTCTTGCCAGGCATTGGCGTCATACAGAATGAAAGACGTTCGGGAAGCAATGAGTTTCATTTATTAAGTTGTTACTAGCTGGGTTAGATCCCAAGTGGCTAATTTAACCACGAGCTAACTCGGCCGAACATCCAAGTACAAAACCATGGGCTGGGGAAGCCTGGGTCCGATTCAATCGCACGCCGCCTCGCTCGCTTTCTGAGGCACTTCGACCGCGGAGCTGCCTGAGGCTGTCAGTCGGAGGATGGGGGGCTTCGCAGGCTTTGGGTTCAGGGGGCGTTTTTGGGTGTCGTTAGATAGGGGGCCCAACATTTTGTTGGTTTTCGTTTGGTTTTCTTTCATTCATACCACCCCAAAATTAAGGGCACCCTCAAAAAGGACGCACTCACCTTTTTGGGTTCGTTGCATCAGGCGAACTGAAAGGAAAACCGCTGCGCCATTTTGGGCATAATACGACAATATATGATTATAGTGAGTAACACTTAGTGCACATGCAGCCCCTATCTCCTATCTATGACGCACCCTTTTCCAGCTTGAAATGCCCCCAAGACCTGCTAACTGTACCTCTTGGTTGTGTAAGCTTGTGCTCATGGCTGCATTTGGCTCACTCCCTGACTTCCCGGACTTGACACCTTTATTAAGAAGACGGTTTTTGCGTAAGCCAAACAGCATAGACCCTGCCGTCCAATTCACTTAGGACGTGAGTTGGTGCTAAAGTGCCCACACCAGTCTAGTTCTTAGCGACTCCTAGTTGCCCAAAGCCGCCCTTTTGACCTTTTTTTCCTCCCCCGTCTTGGTCCATTAGCGGCCCCAAAAGGTCCTTCTGGGTGCTTTGGCAGGGGATCCAAGTGCAACGAGTTGAACGGACGGACGGCTGAACCTGCTTCACCCCTTTGACTCCTGCAGGTTAAAAGGACCGTGGCTTTGTGTAAAAAGCTTGGTTGTGTGTGTAAAAAGCAAGCCTTGCTCGTGTCTTTGGTTCGTAAGAAGCGAAGTTGTTCTTTGTGTTCAAACGACCGTTCTTAGAACTTCATGTGACTTGCTTGGTTCAAAGACGCAAGGAAAGATCCTGTTTAGATGATCCAGAAAGGCATTGTCAACATTTCCCGGGAAGTGGAAGATGACTTACATTTGCACCACACTACATTGCGTCATTCTTGCATGACATTGTACTGCACTACGTTACACTTACATGACATGTTCATTGCAGCACATGACGTGACATGACACTACATCACATTGCGTTACGTCACGTGACTTGCATTACACGTTGCTTAGAGGCTTTTTGGCCTCATGACAGCCTCTGACATGGCGCGACAAGAAAGCATGATTGCGCCAGTAAACCAGAGAGCCAGAGAGAGAGAGAGAGAGAGAGAGAGAGAGAGAGAGCGAGAGAGATCAGCTCAAACTGGGGTGCCTCGATTCCATCCTTTTTTGCAACTCCAACAGTTTCATGGGCTCGCCAGTTTTTTGCAGCTTCAGGGCAATTCCGGTGACCCCCGGGCGAGTGCGTTTGACTGCCAGCATCTCCCGCGCTGCACAGTGAGCCGATGTACATACATGCAGCCTTGCAACATTGCCGGACTTAACTTACCTTTGTGTCTTGGTTTGCCTTTATGGGCTAACTTGTTTTGCTTGCTAACTTGTTTTGCCTTTCTGGCATTCCTTCATTATGTCTTTCAACCAGGCACTTAACTTGTTGGGTGGGGTCTAAGTCTGGCCGATGGCTTAAAGAAAGGAAGTTTCACCGCTAGGTCTGTCTCACGAGAATTCAGCGCAAGTCCGCGTGTCCAACATGGCATATGCAGTCAATACGTGCGTGCATCTCTATGAGGATGTCCACTCCCGGACAAGTATCCACCGGGGCAAATGAGCTATACCACTCCTAGGAAGTCCACCCCACCTTTAAAAAGGGCACATAAAAGGGTAAAGCAGTGTTTTTGCACCAACAACCCAGCTTAACGAGGACTTCGGACGCTTTGGGAGTCATACCATTTATGCCACTATCAAGACGCTACATAAAGAGCGCAGCATCGGTTGCATACTCCATTTCCCTCGGGAAAGGGTGGGGGTGGTGAACGTTTGTGGGAGTTGGCTGAAGGGTAAACCCAAACATACCCAAACCTTCCAGAGACCTACTTTGGGGTTCAAACCACCACCAAAGCAAAGGGGGTTCAGGATTTTCATCATACAAATTGGGTCCCAAGGCCATTTTTTACTGGGTTGAACCCCAGGGTAGTTGTTTTCGTTTTGGTCGTCCGATCTCATTTTGAGCCAGCTTTGTCGCATCATGGCTCAGTCGGGGCAAGGCGAATCAGGAGACCTTGAAACGACCCGAACGTTGGCCAACTGAAAAGCCCGTCACCAGTCTGGGTTTCTCAAGGGGAAGCGAGAAAGTTTCGATGGGAATCGAACCTGCTGGACATGGTGGATCCTTTGCGAAAAAAACAAGTGCTTTGGTTGTTTGTTGGGCTTATTTTCAAAAACCAGCCACCGGTTTCTGCTTGCTCCACCAAAAAGTGCCTTTGTTTGGGTGCAAGAGCCCTGCGGCCCTCACAACGGGGGATTCATACACCTTGTCTCAAAGGTGCTCAACGAGAAACTGATGGGAGGCATCTTCCGGAAAAAGCCGAAATGACTTCCCGGAGTGACCCGTTGGGAGACATTCCTTCAGCCGACATTTTCGTGACTGTTTTCCCACGAGCTTTCACGCAATAGGCCTAACCTCCCCCCCTTTCAAGCGGGAAACAAACACATCGGAACAAAACTAAAACACAACCGCAACAACAACACAACACACCAAACACACCGGGAAAAAATAAAAAAATAAAACCAAGCACGTACGAGACGCAAAGCTCAGGACATGCCCAAGACAGCACCAAACACACCGGGAACAAAGAAAGACAGAGAAGAAAAGAAAGGGCGCACGAGACACGAGAAGAATCTATCAACCTATGCCAACCGACTTCAGCCCATGAGCCATGAGCCGCCTGGTGGCGCCCGCCCTCTCCATCCCCTCGCTGGGGCCCGGCTCCGGAACCTCCGGGGCCCGGGAAGCGCCCGGCTCCACTGCGCGCTTGGGCGCGCCATTTTTGGGCGCGCCGGCCTCAAGCCATGCGGCGATAGCCGGTGTGCACGAGTTTCAGGCGGGAGAAAAAACGTGTTGTTTTGTGTTGTTCTTTTCGTTGTCGGTGTCTTCTTGTTTTCTTCTTTTGTTTTCTTTATGTTTTTTTTGGTCTTTATAGTTTTTTTCTTCGGAATCTCCTGTCCACGCCATGGAAGCTACTAGAGGAATGGTCCCTTGTAAGGAGAATCGGAATCTAAACCCGGACCCCCAAAGAGTGAGGTGTCACGACAACGTGGACGGGAACAAAGTGGGCATGGGTCTTTGGAGTAATGTTGATCCCAGATCAATCAACCCCAGTTTTATTGTTTCTGGGTTTATTGGGAAGTAGCAATTTTTGGAGGAGCCCCCACCCCCCTATTAATAAACTGGGGTTGATTAGTATCAACATTTGGGTGTGGCTCAAAATTAAACAGCTAGGGTTACGCAGGGTTTAGTCTTTGGTTCCTTTTACCCAGGTGCCATTTGAGTACATTTTATTGAGCCACAGCCATTTGAGGCGCCCAAAGCCCCAGTGCTCCAAGCGGCGCCAGCTGCGCCGGAGGCGGAACTTCCGCGGAGGCTACAGGCGCCGTGGAAAGTGGTACCCGGACTAACGGTCAACATAATTTTGGGTGTGTCGTTTTTGAGGGTGCCCCTTTTTCGTGTTTTTGTTAAAGGGAAACCAACAGGAAGACAGCTTCTTCTTCTTTTGAGGGTGGGGGGGCTCCCAATAATTTAAAATACACCCTTTTACACGAAGTTTGAGCTTTTCCACCCATACCCACCCTTTTTGTCAGTATGACGTGCACTTTCGAGCACAACAACTGCCGCAATGCCCATAAAATTATGCATATCAAGCCCTTACCCAACTTTCCCTTCCCAGCCTAGTCAATACTCACAATACCCCTGATTGGAATCACCGACAACCGGAGGCATTTGCCTCAAGATCAATCGGCAGGCTTCCAAAATATATACATACAAATATATCAAGTTGGGGACCCCTAAAAAATGGTTGTCTTCCATTTGGTTACCCTTTAAACCAACCCCAAAAAGCAAAAAGGGGTTCCCTACCACACAAGCCCTCCATATTTGTTCTGGGTATAGTCCTCACAAAAACCAACCTGTCGGATGAATACCAAAGTGAAGCATCCCTTCTGAAGTTGGACAATGAATCCACCGAGGGGTTCTCGATCCGGGGCGCGTCTCTTTTTGAGGTTGCCTCTTTTTTCGTGGTTTTAAAGGGACACCAGCAGGAAAATCAAATTTTCGGGACCCCCCCCCAAAAAAAAGAAGACATAGATATCCAAGTCAGACAAAGCCCCCCCCAAAAAAAAACACCAAGAAGCAGACATGCCCAAGTCGGACAAACAAACATATACCCATGTCAGACTGGTTCTTTTCCTTTTTGTGCTTCTCCAGGCGCCAATGTTGGCTCCCCACCTGGCCCTCTCTGCCGACAGCGACTCCTCCCATGACCTGCGAGCCCACTCCGCGCACGACGCGCACGCGCGGCCGTCCATCGCTGGGTACCCCCCGGCGCCCTCAGGGTATTCGCCAGGGCTGGGGTACTCAGAGCCTGAGTTGCAGCAGAGCGGCGCCGTCTCTTTTCTCCCTTTTTCCCCAACAGCTGAAAGCTTTGGGGTCTCAGCCCAGATAGGCTCCGGGGTCCGGGGGCGGCCCTTAGGTAAGGTTCTTCCACCAGGGTTCCACGAAGGTTCCACGAGGTTCTGCGAGGGCTGCGGGGTGGTGCGAGCACTGAAAAGAGACACCGCATGCTGTTGGGGATATCACCGCAGCTTTTTTTTTTTGGGGGGGGGGGTTGTTTGTTCTTTTTTTGGGGGAGTTGTTGGTTGGAGCGCTTGAGCGCCGCTTTTCTTCTCCAAGTCATGGGACTTGGTTTACCCTTCAACTCAAGCAACAAAAACCGGCGCTGCTTTCTTTTTCCCGTGAGAGATTCCGCGCTGTCTGAGGAGCAGTCAGAGCCGATGTCGGTGGGCTCTCTTGAGGAGTCGCAGTGGTTGGACGGCGACATGGGCTCAGGCTGGGTGCAAAATGCAGGCGGAGTCCCACAAACTAGGTCCCCCAGCTATTGGTGCCCTTCTTAACCCAACTCTTTTGGTTGGGAGGGTTCGGAACCCTACTAAAATGGACTACAGAAAAAGTTGGTACCCTTATTCTAAGCTCTCTACTGGAGGACCTAGTTGGGGTATCTTACCCAAACCGTAGTTCGTCTCAACGCGAGCCGCCCGACATCCCAAAGCCTTCTTGATTTTCTTCGGAGTTGGCTAAAGGGTAAATATAGGCGAAGCCTTAATTCTAGTCAGACCTGGTTAAATTGGGTTGTTGGTGGAAAATCCAACTGCTTTAATTACCCTTTCAGGCGTCCTTCTGCAGGCGGGCAAAATGGGGTCGTCGACTTCCCAGGTCACCAGGTTTTTGTTCAGCCAACGACTCATTTGAGGCAGGCTACAATTTTACCATAGCCCAACAGTGTTGTGAAGTAAACACAATGCACTGCATTTCCCCGTGGTCAAAAACATTGCCCTTCATTTTGACGACCCGCCCCCCCTCCCCGCCCAAAGTACGTGCACCACAGCAAAATGGATCGGGCTACATCCAGCATTTGTCTGCTTCCTTTTGTCCAAACCCATTTCTTTCCCATATAACCACCACCAGGTTTTCCGTTTTTGCAGCGCGCTAACTGGGCCACTTTGTTTTGATCTGTATTTGTTGAGGGTAATTACAGTTTGGTTGGTAGTTGGGGTCCCTTTGGTCAGTCATCCTAGCCATCCCGACTGACTTGGACCTAGACTTTGACTGACTTGACCTTGGAGACTGGGACTAAGGATTTTCCTATTGCACTTTGGAAAACACGCTGGGGAAATTTCCCAAAATACTTCCCCGACACCTAGATATCGGTTTGTTGATTTGAGCAATGATGATAGGAATCAACGCCGGTACATGTAAGCATGCGGATGGTGTGGGTGTATTGACCGAAACCGCCGTTCGACCAAACCTCAAGGTGTAGGAAATGGATTCCCCAAAACAACAACAACAAAAAGGTACAACCAATTGAAAGAGGGCCCCTGTCAGAAAAGCGTCTTCCACCAAGGTCCCTTTCAGGTTCCATGTTTGTTTTTTGGGAAGGTAGGTTTCCGTTGAGTTCCACCAATATTTGTTTCCAGCTTGCCGCGATTCTAGCAACTTCTGCTGACCAGGGTTTCTTTGAAGCACTTGTCGGATATGCCAGCAACTTGTTTCGCAGAATTCTGGGCCGGCCTTTCAATTCCCATGGCTGACCTTGGCGCTGCTCTTGGGCGTGTTCTTTGTTTTGATCTACAGAGCTGCGTCCCTGTTCAGGATGCCCCCCTTCATTTTTTGGTTGTCAGAAGCCGGTGATGCGCTCAGCATGCTGGAATCCTGCTAGAACCTAATTATTCTAAGTATTGCCCGTCCTTGGTACCACTTCTCTTGCGCCCTTTTTCTGTTCAGCTCTTCTTCTCAGTTGTCCAAACGGGTTTCCCAGGTCCCACAAGGTGATCAACTCTCAGTTCCAAGATCCAGGTGAGTTTCGTTTGTCCCTTCTTTGGGCCCCCGATGCCTTAGGTTTCTCAATCTTAAGTCTTGGTTGCCTTCGATGCCCTTGATTTATTTGTGTTGGCCCCTTTTTGGTTTGGCCCCTTCTTGGCACCTCTTCCCCCCGAAACGGAAAGACGGCGGTCGTCCATAGGCTCCGCCGGACACGGCCTGAACGGGGCACTGTCCACCTACGGGGCGCCGGCGGAGTGGTGGCACGACTCAATCATCCTGGGCCGGCTGAGCGCCCTGGCACTCCGCCGCTTGGAGACAAGAGATAACTTGGCTCCCAGCCATCCGGTTCCGTAGCCTTTTAGCTGTTTAGTCTTCAGTGGTAGTTGGTAATGTCCATTTAACAAACTAATTGAAAGTTAACAACTTTTAGCGCGGGATCTGAGGGCAGCCCAGGAAGCAAGCCGCCGATGGGACCCGATGGAATTGACAAGTTCCAAAAAAAATGGCACCCATGTTTAAGTTGGAATTTGGGGGGTCCAGGCGGTTTATGATTTGAATGTGCTTCAAGATCGCCCCCAAAACGATGAGTTTCCTTTTGGCTTTCTTCACTCACCAAAAGGTGCCCAAGCCGCATAGCCTATCTCAGAGACCCCACAGCTTTCGACGGGAGAAAGGCATAGCTGGTGAAGAGGGAAACTGGGATCCACTGGAGAGGTTCCTTTGGTGTCAATTTGTCAGGGGCCACATTCTACCTGCGTGTCATTTTTAAGGTTCCCAAATGGCTCCGGTTTTCGTCTTGGTGTCCCTTTAAAGCCACAAAAGGGCTTCCCTCCCAAAGACAGGCCCACTCGGCGTGGGGTTCTTGGGACGCGTTTTTCACCAGGGTGTTACAGGTCTATCCCGCCTCTTTATTCCCTGGGGTTCGGCACCCATTAAAAGAATGGCAAGGACCCAACTTGGATCATGAAAATTATTGGGTAAATAACTAGGTCCCCTTTAATAATGGTGGTCATATCAACCCCCATTGTTTTCATTGTGGTTTGAAGCCCAGGGTTTGAGTCCTTGCAAAAAAAAGAACGAAAGCCTGGCGACTTGGAGGTGCGCAGCGACGTGGGACACGTCTTTTCTCTTCTTCTTTTTTCACGAGGCCCGAGAGGTTGTTAGTTTTTAGTAAGGGTGGCTCGTCGTGATTGGAGGGTACCCCTTTGCTTTCAGGGTTATAACAGGAAACCACGAGGAACACCGAAGCCATGAGGGGTGCCCAGTCGAACAAGCCGTGACTTGGGGTGCGGTCGACTGGGAGCGGAGTTTTTTCATGAGGGTGTTCAATGGAACTACCTCCTGGCGGTTGCCCAAATATGAGACAGAATCTCAACAGCGTGTAACTCAGTACGTTTGGAAGTCGGGATTTGGTGAGTTGGCTCGGCACATTTCTCACTCACCCAAGCTCCTGGACTTTTTGTCGCTTTTCGACATGACCATTCTAGTGATGAACGACGGGTTTGGAGACTTTTTGGGTCAATTCTGATCCAGGGAGCGAGACTTGTGCCAAACATGCCACAAACAAATAAACCAGATCTAGAGGGTAAAGAAGTTGGTGCTGCCAATCAGACCTTTCAACTAGCCCACAGATAGAGCCTTGCCGGAGCCCAGAGCTCGAGGAGGACGATGTTTTTGGACGTGGAGTTTCAGGTGTTCCCAGCCGTGCTCCGTAGGCTTTTTATCAGCTTTTTTTTTGGGTTTCGTGCGGGTTTGCAGTTAACTGGGTGGCAAGCCCAGGCAGGCATCCGGAAAACCTTAGGTTTGCAGGTTTTTACTTGGTTCAATGGGGGCTTTCCATTCAACCCACGAAAGGTGAAACACGTTTAGCGGGGGATCTGAGGACAGCCCAGATTTAGAGGCACCAGGTGTTACTCCGCAGGTTAAACTCTTAGGGCTCTGACTATCTCATTTAAAGACAATGAGGTTAACAACTGTCTCATTTAACTAAAGGTGAACAACTTTTGCCACAGGATCTGAGATTTAGAGGAAGGTCTTCCATGGTAAGGTACCTCCCTTGTTGGTCAGGGGTTGACATTTTACCCTATCATGCTTTGGAAAATGTGGGTATTGGGTGTAAGGGTTTCTAGACAACCGCAGATCGACCAAGAGACCCCTTGCTGCCGTGTGTTCCCTTTTTTTGAGGGAGGTGTCCTTTAAATTCAACCCACAGGAAAGGGTGCCTTTTTTGCCATTGCCACGGCTCTTGGATTTTGGGCATGTAACAGATAACTTCCAGCAAACCGCTAGATCAAGACGGATCGCCTCGTTTCAAACTATCAAAGTCCATGGATTTCGGGGCCCGTCCAGAAAACCAAACCCAACATCTTCCTGGGCTGCTATTGGGTTGGATCTTTAGATTTCAACTTCTTGGGAAATCAAGGGGGCTTTCCACTAAACCCCCAAAAAGTTAAACTTTTTGCAGGGGGTCAACAGCAACCAAGATTCCATCCCCGTGCAGAACGCAGCACGTTCCAATTCCGCAGAAGTCAAGGACTCAGAGCTGAACCATTTGACAAGTTTCCTAAAAGACAAGCCTCCTCAAAACGAGCATGGCTCGCTTTTTGGTTGAGTTGTTTTGTTATTTTTTCTCTGTTGGCTTTAAAGGGAATCCAGCACTACTGGAAATATCTTGGCTCATTTTTGACCAGGCGAAAAAGCACATGAGCCACAATCAGAACCCGAGTAGATGAAGGTTAGTACGGGACAATCCCAGCCAATAGCCGAACATATTCCGCCTTCCTACTCCTGTACATGGTGCCGGGTCAACCATTTTTGTACCGGGTTTTGAGCAAGTGACTCAACTGAACCCCGGCTTCGGGCGATTTTCGTAGGTTTGGATTGCGACTCACACTTGAGTCCAAGGCTACTTTGCCAACAAGGCGGCCCTGCAATGGCAACGGCCACGTCTCGGTCGCGCAAACTATCGGTTGTTGCTTGCTCGATTCGTATTCTTGTGTTTGTGGTTGGTTTATTTGTTTGAAGGTTGTGCGGGCTCTGCTGTTTCCGTGTTGCTCTTGTGCCAGTTTGCTTGCTTGTGTCTTTCTTTTGTTTCTTGGTTGGTTGGTTGCTTCGCTGCCAAGCCGCCCACCCGCCCACTCGCCCGCCTCGCCCGCTTGCTTGCTTGTGTGTGTGTGTTCTTGTGTTGCCACGAGTTGTTGGTGCTGCTTTGCTTTGTTTGGTTGAGTTGTTTGATCGTTTTGCTATTTGTGTGTTTATTTATGTGTCGGTGCGTTTGTGAAGTGTTTGTTTCTGGGCGGTTCGGCGCGGTTTAGTTCGATTCAATTTGGTTCGTTTGTTTCTTTGTCCTCAAAGAGCACCTTGTAACAAAAGGGGGCAGTTGTGAGTTCCTTTCACGTGACCAATGAAGATTCCTTTTACAGGGGGCCCCTGCTTTGGGTCTGGTTTTTGATCCGGGGCTTGTATAGGGTTGACGTATTTCTTTGAGGCTATCCTTTGTGGGGTTGGTTTAAAAGAGTTTCATAACCTAGACTGAAACGGTTTTCAACAAGCCTTTGCTAGAGCCGTGCGCGCCATACTTGCGTTGCAGGAGGGTACCACTTTGGGAAAGATCCAGCGACAGCAACCTAAGGACGCTTACAACCAGCAAGCCGGTTCCCTGAATACAAAACCAGTGAACCAACCCCAAACAAGAACAAAGCAAGATGAAGTTGATCCCGTCCTCGCAAGATGGAGCATGTAGCGCGTACGTGCGTGTACCAGTCATCCGCAGCATGGATAATAAAGTTCCTACGAAAGAAACTCAGCGCACATTGCCTGCCAACCGGGATTTCGGGTGAGATTTGGCAGAACTACGCGCGCCACATTTGGATCCAGGAACATGGATCCGGGCGACATCCAACATATTTTCTTGTTTTTTTTCCAACACCGTTTTGGGCATCCCACATCCAACATCCACTTGCCACATCCATCGCAGTTGGTTGAGATCGTGTCTTCCCCAAACAACACACCACCAGGTGTTCGGTTTTTGCAGCGCGCGAACCGGGCCACACCATTGATATGTTGAGGGTAATTGCAGTTAGGCTGGTTGAAAGGGCACAGGAAGCCGCCCTCTTGGCGTTTGATTGGTCAGCTTATCCCGGAAAAAATACACAAGAGAACACAAGCTTGGTGTGGTTTCCGGTCCTGGCTGGACTAGGATCTGGAAATAGGCGAGGCTAGGGTGATTTTTCAGAGGGTGTAATCACAGGGTGTAGGAAAATCCATGGATTTTGGGCTAACAACTTAGCCCATTAAAATAACGGTTGACCCAGTTTAGATGATGACCATCCTTAGGTAACCAATGGTGGTGAAATATGAAACCCCCATTGGTTTAATGTTTGTTTCCCAGGGTCACCATAGTCAACCCCAGGGTCATCAGAGTCAACCCCCGTTGCCCCCAAAATACGATCCATGGTGTTTGTTGGTGGCAACTGCAACTGAACCCCAGGCTTCGGCGATCCGACGGATCGCGCTTCGCTTGTCGGAGCTTGCGGGCGCCGCAGGCGCTGCAGCGGCCCTGGGCGGCCTGGCGCCGCCTGCTGGAACTCGGCCGCCAGAAGCAGCGGGAGGCGGCGACGCGGGTAGACGCTGCGACGCGCCGCGCGTCGGAAGCGCCGGACGGCGGGGGCTCGTCGTGGAAGACGTGGCCGCTTCGTTGGGGTGACGTGGGCTTTCATGGTGGAAGTAAGGGGAAAGCTCAGGCATACACGCGTGCAGAACGTTTTTTTGTTTTTTTGTAGCTAAAGGTGGCTGGGCGCAATAATGGGCCCAATGGATAGGCCTTAGCAAGGCCTGAAATGTGTGGGGTGTCTATTTTTGGTGTACCCGTTTTTCAGATTTGTTCTTGTTGGAAGCAAAAAGGAGAATCACCGCTTGGGGGGAATCTAACATTTTAACACATATCAAGTGCCCGCTTTGGGCTTGAGGACACGAAAGCAACCCGCATAGTAGGCTTGCTCTTAACTTGCTGGTGCGATAGGCGGGTGGTTTTCTTTAAGGGACCCCTGGGTTCATTCCCACATTCCCTACTGAGCACGTACAGACACCACACACACATGCAGTTTCTTGAGTGGGAGATGGCTTTCACCTTTCCACCGCCCCCCAAAACACAACCCCCAGAGGAAAACAGGATACACACCCTTTACATAGTCGACACATGGTGGTTATGAATTCCATCAACCCCCCATAGGGGTGTCTTCGGATTGGGGGTAGCGGAAGAGCTTCCCTTGACAAGCCGACATACACACGGGTGTGTCGTTTGAGGGAACCCTTGTTTGGGTTGTTTTGCCAACCATTCTGGAGCCCTAATGTTTTCTCGGATCTAAGGTTTTGAAAAGGAGATGTCACTGGCTGACACCCCCTTCTTTTCTAGAACCCGGGACGCACGGGAGTTGTTGCAGGTCTTGAAGCACCAGCTGCAGCTGGCACTGAGGCGCTGGCACAGGACTCGCGTTTTTTGTTCTTTGATTGGCGGTTTGGATCCCGTAGTGCCCGCTTTCTCCAACTTTTTTGGTCGGTAAACCGGGCTTTCCACTTGCTCAGGCCGAAGGGAGCAACCCAAATGTGCTTAGAGGGGTTTGGATTGGTTGGGGGATGACTTTCCTCCAAAAGTTGGGCGGTGTCAATGGCAAACTCAACGGTTGACGGCGAAATCCAGGCCCTGAACCACTAGGTCCCCCAGCAATTGCTGCCAACTTTCTTACCGTTTCTTTTTTGGTTGGGAGGGTTCCCCTACTAAAATAGACGTCGAGAAAAAGTTGGTACCCTTATTCTGACCTCTCTACTGGACCTAGGCTGGTTTGGATTGGTTTGGGGACTTGAATCCCTTATCCGACACATTGGTTCTTCTCCAAATTCCCTGAATCGGCCAAACCACCAATGCCAGTTGCAAGCCTTTTCTCAGTTCCAAGAGAGTTGCGACCTTTGAACCTTTGGGTGTTCCCTCTTTAGCCCATAGTGAGGGTCCCAAAAGCCGAACCTTATTTCATGTCCTGTGGGCAAGCGAGTTTTTCGTGGCTATGGCAAAAAGAACATTCATTTGGCAAAGGCCTGGAACATTTTGGAGCATGCCGGCATGCCGATGGAAAATCCTGGCCACTTCGCACGAGCTCACAGATCCATGGCAAAAGCAGCAATGTATCCCCTGGCGAAACGTCCTTGGTGTTCCGGAGTTGGTAAGCAGAGCATAGCAGTTCCCCTCCCTCCATTGGACATGCCCTGTGGATGGACGAAATCCGTTCGCACCAAATTGAAACCATGGTTGAAACCAGAGTGTTTGTTGCTATTTACAGGGGAATCGAATCATTCCAGGGTTTATTAGGTGGTGCGAAATGGATTTCGTCCATCCACAGTATGACTTGTCTTTGGTGTGACCGCATGGGTCCTTCGACCTCTTGGAAGCAAACGGCCTTTCCACTGGGTCTTGCGACCTTATGCTCAGGCCGAAGGGAATGTGCTCAGAGGGATTCATGGCATCTCCCATTAAAAGACGGATAAAGACGGACTTGCAAACCACCCATTTGCTTATCGTCCGTACGAATAGTTATCCATGCCCTGACCATGGCACATGTGATGCCAACAGAATCCCAGCATGCCCTTCAACATGACACTGTAGTCAACACTGAGCATGTGACAATCTTTGGCCGCCTACTTGTTGATTCAAAGCCGCCCCCCACTTGGATGACCGCCCCCTTGAACAATTGGTTAGTAATTAGATCTGTTAATAAGTTGATCAAGTTGGTCGCATGTAGGCTCAAGCCTTCTTGGGACTTGCTAAATCCAGTGATTGCACAATTAATTAGTGGGGTGGTTGTCTAGCGGGGAAAATTGAATAGATCAACAAGTTAGGTAAAAACCTAGACAACCAAGCAATTATTAGCAAGTAAACATACACTATTGTATAAATGTATATATATATAGTGGCTATATAGCCCATGAATCCCTTGGGTGGTTTGTGGGTAGCTATATATGTAGATGCATGTATACTCAATGGTGTATCATGAATCCCTTGGGTGGTTTGTGGGTAGTTATATATATAGATGCATGTATACTCAATGGTATATCTGTTTTTGGGGTTTGGGTAGCGGAAAGGACCATGTTAGAGCGCATGGGTCTTGACACCCGCACGAGTTGACTCGTGTGAGGACCTCTGTGCTCCATGGGCGGCGGCTTTCAACAAAGCCGCCCTGGCGAATTTAGTCGGTCAAGTGAGGTCCGCGGGGTGCCGAGTTGGTCTGGGTGTCTTTATTGTTGGAGTCTGAATTTGGTGGCTCCCAGCCATCCTTAGCTTTTTAGCCCTTTAGTGTTTAGTGGTAGTTTCCATTTCCCCCCCCCCCCCAAATGGGGACCCCCCAAAATGCTGGGCTTCCCTTGGGCTTTCCCCACCGTTTCCTCGCTGAGAAGTTGGCCGGAACAGGGAGCCCACAGGGGCTCAAATGTGGGAAGGTCCTTTTTTTGGGACTCGGAGCCACCACATGGCGCAACAGTGTTCCTTTCGTTTTCAAAAACCAGAAAAGGGAGACACAAAAGGCTTGAAGCGCGAGTCCTTGGCACATGTTTCAATTGGAAAGTAGTGACCGGGGTATCCTTTCAGGGGGTCGGGGTGTTTGCAGCCAGTATGTTTTCCCTTTCTCTTTGGCCGGGCAAACCCGCCTGAAGCACCAAAAGCGAAGGGCGATTCCAACCACGGGCCGCTGACCCTGCCTCTTCAAATTCAACTTGGGGTCTCCTCCAAACCATTTTGTTTTTTAGAGATTGACTAAATATGAAAGAAGATCAGCAAGCCAAATGTTTTTCTGTCTGCGATTTTGTTTTGAGCCGAGTAGGACTTGAATTCTTCGCGACCTTTGGCTCTTTTGTCTAGTTTGAACAAGCAGGCAACAGCTTCTTCATCACGGGACTCCCGGATCAGCAAGCCCGTGCTACGAATAGGGAGTCTCCCCCTTTATATCGTGGGGCTTACACCCCCTCCCTAGGGATTAAAAGACAGGTTGATAATACTTAATAATGACAATTCTGAACAGCACACAGTGGTGGTTATATTAAGCCGACCGTGGTTGTAAATAACAGGACCCCAGCGCCCTTAGTAAGAAAAAAGGAATTCATCACTAATGGAAATATTGTAATATGTTTTTTCCTGGGGCCTTAACCAAAAGGAAGCCTGGGACCACCCTCCCCAATTCACTTTCCCAAACCGTTGGTTTGATCTGGGGTCAACATTACCTTGTCGTTCTCCCGACCCTCCCAGCCCTTCCGAGCGGAGCGGAGTTTGGCCGGTCGCACGTTTTTCTGTTTTCAGAGTGTTCCCTTGGCAAAACCTTCCCCATAAACAGGGGTCTTTTATTGGAGCTTGGTTTTTTGTTGGTGCTTGTTGAAACGGACACGAAAAGGAAAATGCCGTTTTGGGGTCCCCCACTTAATGACACCCGAGTACCTACTTATTTTTTCCGGATAGATGTTGAAGGGTTTTGTATGGAAACATCAAACCACCCAGCTAACCCTTGGTTTGGATGGGGATTTGAAGTCCTGGTGTTTCTTCTCCAAACCACTGGGGAAGCTGAAATTGGAAACACTCGCAAACCGGAACAATCCACTTTGTTGGCGCCTTTTTGGTGGTCTGAAAAGCTTCAGATTGCGTTCCGAATCTTTGAACCTAATCCCTGCCATGGCGGAGGAAAAGTAAAATGACACTCCCTGCATTCCACTCGAACTAGTTGAAGTTGACTTTGCGTGGACGAAGCATCGAGTTGGGGCCCCGAGGTTTTTCATCGCAGTTGCGTAGAAACCGGCAGAAGTTTCCACAGAAAGTTGGCGAACTATACCCACCACAAGCAAGGTTTTCCAGTAGGAGACTCCATGAGCCTTACAAGCATGGGGTCGTGCCGCCTTATGTTTGCGGAGGATCCCATGTTTTAAGCTAGGTCCCCCAGTAGTGCCCTTCTCTCCCCTTTTTTTGGGGAGGGCTCCCGGGAGGGTTCCCCTACTAAAATAGACTACAGGAAAAAAATCGGGCACCCTTATTCTAACCTCTCATATCTGTATGACCTGTGGATGGACGAAATCCTGCACCACCTAAGAAGCCCTTGAATGATGTTTCCCCTGTAAATACCAGCAAACGTTATGGTTTCCCATGGTTTCAAAGTGGTGCGAAATGGATTTCGTCCACCCACAGTAGGGTCCCACCATTGACAAGGCAATGTTCAGGTGTATAATGTAAGGATGCCTGCTATTCTAACCTCTCTACTGGAGGACCTAGGGTCATGGTTTCCTGGGTTCTTGGAAAGTGCCAGGCTGCCGTTGCTGGGGGCCTTGCAGAAGTCGTGGCCTCAGCAGAAATCTTTCGATTTCGTGGATCGGGGTCTTCCATTGTGAACGAAGCCATAGCGCCGGAAAATTGATTGGACATTTGGAATCCAATACGGCTACTTCCATTTGCTTAAGATTTCTCCTTTTTTTCCCTTGTTGGTTTTAAAAGGAGTTTATCACTGCTGGACATATTTAGTTTTTCTTCTTCTCCGGCGTAGGGGTTCAATTGGGGGTGTCAGCAAGTCTAGGTCCCCCAGCTAGGTGCCCTGTCTCCCTTTTTTGGGTAAAATAGACTACTGACAAAAGTTGGTACCCTTATTCCAACCTCTCTAATGGAGGACCTAGAAGTTGACTTAGGCAACAGCAGGTGTGGCTTCAAATTAACCAGCTGGCGCAGACCGCGCGTTTTAGTCTGTTCCAATTGCCAGGGTTCCGTTTCGCACACCCAATTTTGAGCCACACCCTTGTGATTCAAAAAGGACACCAAGATGAAGCCAACTCGTTCCAGGTTGCCCAGGTCGCCATTTAGCAGCTTGCTTCCCCAGAAGTGTAGGATCTTTGCGTGCCGCCTATGAAAGTACAAGGCTGTGTTCCCGTTACAGAGTTCCACATGGACTTGCTGGGCAGGAGGATGTTCTGGATGAGGAGGATGAGCTGGATCAGCTGGATCAGCTTGCTTCATGAAATAATCAACTGAGTCCTGGCTGGTGCTATGCCGGCAGGTATGGATACGTGTACAGGATAAGCTGCTTCAAAAGATCGAGTGCTGCAGATTCCTCACCGAGCAGCACAAAGTATCCAAGCACTTCCGACGGATGCACACATTATCCATCAGCAAGACAGCCAGAAGGCCTGCAGAGGCGACCAGCTGATCGCTACGCGTTGCTGGGGATGGAAGCAGGGCTTCGCAGAAGATCTAGGTGTCCTGTTTGGGTCAGTTTGACTGAACTTAGCTGGATTCCGCTAGTGTCACACTGATTGTAGAACAAACAATAACAAACACAAATCACACGGAACTAAAGAGCTTGCGTACACGCTGGGAGTGTATTTGATTCTGTAGTGTATTTTTTCCACAGTTGCCACTGTAGACCCCAAATGGATCCCGTCTTGTGTGGTTTTTGGGTCTAAGGTTAGGTTGAAGTCAGTTTTTTCTTGGAGGGTTGAGGGTTATATATCAAGATTAGGCTGCAGGTTTTAGGTTTCAGGTTTGAGGTTCGTCTTGAGCCTCAGGGTTCATGCCCCAGTGCCACAGACTCGAATTTCTCCTTGGATTGATTCGCCAAGTGGGGATTGCCACCTGGGGTATAACACCCGACCGAGGTGAAACTTTCGGAACGGGGTACTTACAAGCAAAACACGAACGGTTTCCTTAAAAGATACATTGCCCATTTCAATCATGGCTTTTTCCACCAACATATAAGGGGAAAGCACCATTGACAAGGCAATGTTCAGGTGTATAATGTAAGGATCCCTGTTACCTTTACAATTTAGTAACTTGCGAGTTGCGGTACAGCCCCAAGATTCGCATCCTTGATCAGGTGCCACTTCTTGCAACTGCCTTAAGTAGGCACCGGTGTTGTCTCCAAACCGACTGATTATACATTTCAGGGTAGTCGAAATATGAAGCGTATTCGGAAAGCACGTTTGTTTTATGCAGCATGGCCGACAAGGTCCCGAAATCGATGTTGGAGGGTCTCCCTGGGATTTTTGGAGCTGACACCCTTGAGACTACGAAAGGGGTCCTCAGGGGTAGAGAGGGTTGTAACCACGACAAAGAACACGTTACAACGACAAAGAACATCGTTACACCGACAAGTTTCAGTGAAGACTATCCCGACAAGGTAAGAATGTCAATAGAAAGGAATAGAAAGGAATGAGAAGGTCAATAGAAAGGAATACTACTACTACTACTACTACCTTTATTCGAATCTCTCTACTGGCGTATACATGATTCATGGTATGTGTGCATGCAAATATTGTTTCTCACTCCCAAGCACTTTCGGTGGACTTAAACCTCCTGCACATGGTGGGCTTTTGGGGCCGCATTTGTCGTGAGGATTCTTCGATCCCATTTGGCGCCGGCGTGGGGGCGCTATCGACAGGACGGAATCCGGGGTCTCCTCCGAAACTGGTTTTTAGGCTAGACAAACAGCATGCTTGTGAGTTACTGTGGACAAGATCCATTTCGCACCACGAAATGAAAGCATGTTTGAACCAAACCGTTTGTATTTACAAGGATTTGAATCATCAGAAACCAGGGGTTCTTCGATGGTGCGAAATGGATTTTATCCTAGGGAAGACGGCGAAGCAGAATCTTCACATCTTGTTTGTGTGTGCACACTGTCACCGCCAAGTAGCTAGCTGCTGGACCATGCTCCACGCGAATCGATCGGCGCCAGTTGGGGTGGCAGAAACCCGATTGGAAGACTGGTCCACCTTTTGTTTGGCAGGGGGTTCCTGCTGTTGGACAAAGAGTTCAAAAAAAGTGATCTTGTCCAGATTCTAACAGGTGAGTTACTGGGAAATGTGCCTGCCCCAATCCCTCTCCCCCTCCCCGTGAAGACAGGGGATGGTATAACTCAGTAGCCCAAAGCCGACCATCTGTGTCATGGCCCCAACAGGTGATCGCCTTTCATGTCTGGGTCCCTGAGGGGCAACTGAGTATTAGTATTTGGTTGTTCGGTCAAGTCAGTAAGTTGTTGGTAACCTCTAACCCACTTATACGTCTCCTGCTCCGCGGGGTGAACCTTGTTATTCTGGGCTTATACCCCAAATGGCGAACACCACTGACTAACTTAACCGAGCATCCAAGTAGGTAACCAAGGGATCCACCATACCCTCGTTCCCAAGTAGTGCCCTTTTACCTTTTTTGGGGGGGAGGGTTCCCCTACTAAAATAGACTACAGAAAAGTAGTAAACAAGGGATCCACCCTTTCCGTTTGGCGTGCCAAGCCTCTACATCCATCCTTTCCGTTTGGCGTGGCAAGCGTCTGCATGAAGGGAACCCCCTTTGATTGAATCCCAGGCGAGATCATTTTTTAGTAAAATCAGGTCCCCCAGTAGTGCCCTTTTACTCTTTTTTGGGGGAGGGTTCCGCTACTAAAATAGACGTCCAGAAAAAAAAGGGTACCCTTATTCTAACCGACCTAGTAACTTAGCCGAGCATCCAAGTAGATAACCAACCCTTTCCGTTTGGCATGAAGGGAACCTGCTTTGTTTGAATCCCAGAGGCAGTCTTTGTCCAGAGGGACGTGGACCGCCGGCTGCGGCTGTGGGGATCTCAGCAGTCGACTCCCTGCAAACACGCGCAGGTTACTAGCGGTTTGTCTCATTTTGCTGGGGTACCTCTGAAAAGCTTGGTTCCCTTTTGGTTTGCTTCTTGAATGGAACCAACCGAGGGTTTCCCTCAAAAGAAGATGGCCCCCTAAACGTGGGGCCCTTTTTGGTGGACATGAGTTGCATCCATCTCCATACATGGGAACCACCCTTTAGAACGGTTACCTTTTGTAGTGGCCGGCCCAGGATCCATAGGGTATAGCTTTGGGTCCAATAAAACTCCAATTGACTTCGAGGTTCCTTTTAAGTCCAAAGCGAATCGACCTGACCTTTTGGTTTTTCCTTTCTGGGTTCACATATAGGTCCCGAAAGGTTTCCCCTTTGAGTTTGGGCAAGTGAGCTTTAGTTGCAAACTAAAAGTTCTAAGAGTGCTTCCACTAAGGGGTTCTTACGGTCAGAGCACAGGCTGGGTCTTGCCGGGATACTTCGGTTACCTTTGCTGACCAGTTTACTCAAAGAGATGGGTTGCACCTTGCACCCTTCGCCGCTAGTCATTTGGCGAAGTTCCTCAAGGCTTTCTTTCTTTGTGGACGGAGGAAATTGTCACACCGTGGGAAGCCGTGGTTTCTTTGTATTTGCCCCCTGTGCAAGTTGAAAGGCAGTATGTACCCCCTATACAAGTGGTAAATCACCTTCATACTGTTGATGGACGAAGTTCCTGCAGCAATGCGAACCGTTGCTAGTTGGCATTTACAGTGGAATCATCATCCCAGTGTTTCTGAACGTTGGTGTGTTTAATGGAATTTTCGCCCACAGTAGCGTGGCACTCGATTCAAACGCGAGGGTACCTGGTGAGTTTTCCTTGAGTTTCCCTAACCTGGAGTGTTTCCTGCAAATTTATGTTGGTTTATCTTGAACAACATCCAAAAACAGGGGTGCTGTTTTACTTTTGGTTTCACTGTAAGCACATCCAGCAAAGGGGGGGACCTGGTGGGTGTTCTTTTCGCTTGCCTTTAAACCCAAAAAAGGGGGGGTACAAACAAGACACACTAGGATCAATGGATGCCGACATACCACCAACATCTCATAAGGCAACTTGTGTATAACCCCAATACACACCCATACCTGAAAATGCCTGTGATCATTGGGTGCAAAGGCAATCCCCAAGATTCTCGGGTTGTGACAGGAGCTGCGGAATTCCAATAGGGGTTAAACCTGGCGATTCGGCTCCTTGGCCCTTTCGCTTTTTAGTTGGTTGAGTGGTTTGGTGTCCATTCAACCCGCTACAAGTCAAACTGTTAGCAGGAAAAGTGACAACGGGCAGCCCAGGTAAATTATGGCCCGTTCTTCGTCCGGCACGGATCGCAACGGATCGCGAATTGGAGAGGTTTCCCCTGGCGCCAGACAGACAAGTTTGTCATTGCAGACTTGGATTTCGTCACTTAGCAAAATGGGCTTTTATTTTTGGACGCCCTAAAAATGCTGATATCCGTTTAAAGCTAACCAAGAGGGCTTCCAGAAAAAGTTGACTCGCCCAGACTTTTGGGCACAGGCTTTGTGAGCCAAATGTTTGCTCCTCAATACTGCTGATGCGCATTGGCAAAATCCGGTGACGGAGGTCGAGGCACCAAGTCGCTAGCTTGTCTCTTTTGGAGTTGGTACCCTTTCTTTGGCGGTGTTAAAGCGAAACAAACGCACCACCACCACAACCATTTTTGGGCGGTCCAGCTCCTAAAAAAGACACCTGCGTGTTTGACCCACCTTCCTGGCATGAAATCACTCTGAGCTACCTTCGCTCATGTAACATGGTCAACGGACCTTTGGTTTGCTTGAAACGGTCACAGAGCCATTGATGAAGGGGTTAAACAACTAAGTAGTATGTAACGGCCCCTTTGTTGAAACAGGGGTCTCTTTGGCTACCCTGGGGGTGTCGTGGGAAGAACGGAAGGTTGTTCTTTGACTTTGCTCAGGAAGTGAGACTCCGAGTATTTTTGTCCAGGGGGCTGAAGCGAATGGACGTGTTGCATAAACCTCACTTGTTCAGTGGCACCCTTTTCCCCCTTTGTTTTTGGTGGCCCCACTCAAAATGGTCTTTCCAAAAGAGGGTTCCAGGGTCACTGAACAACTGAGAAACCTTTCGACGTTTTGGATGGTCCCGAAAGACCGGCTGGGCCCCAGGCTGCACATCATTCGACGCAAGATGATGAACACCATGGCGCAGGCTTGCCTGCTTGCGAGCCACGGAAGGAAGGGGGGGAAGGGTTCAAGGGCTAAACGCATACCTAGACCCTCAAGCTACCCATAAAACAGGAATTCACCCCATAATTTTCGGTTGCAATCTCCCATGTTGGAATTTGCTGAGGGTCCAGGTACGTTGCTTGGTCATTTTTTCGGAATCGGACCTCAAACGTGGTGGTTTTCCTTTTCGACTTTCAAGAACAAAAGAGCGGAATTCCGCAGAATTGGATTTCCTTCTGGTTATGGTAGAAAGAAGAAGCATAATTCCACAAATTTGGGGTGTTCCTTTTGGTTTTCGTTTCAATCCACAAATAAGGTGCCCTCAAAAAGCGACATTCTCGTGTGGCAGTGTTTTGTTGGACGGTGATTGCCCTGTTTGTGTCTTTAAATGGAAGTCGAAGACACAAAATGCCATTCCGTGGGTACTCCCAGCATACGTTCACGTACAGATTTATTCGTCATTGCGAAGGGCTTCTACTAGCATGACAGAAGTAATATATATATATACATATAGCAAACATTTGCTGAAATGAACATTTTTTTTTCGATTTTCCCTGTTTCTTTGAAAGGGAATCGAATTCATTGCTGGGAATATGTTATCATTCTTTTCAGGGAACTTAAGCAGGTGGAGGATAAGCAATAGTCCAACTTGGTGGCAAGCATTTATGAGTTTGCGCACCCAAAGTTCCCCAAGAAGTCCAAGTGGCCGGCCACCAGAATGGCCCCATGTCTTCTAGCCTTGTTTTATGGGTCGTTGAATCAACAAATATAACTTGACGTTGGAAACCGGTCAAGACCCGCACACTGACGCTGGATATTCCGCCCTTAAAACATTGTGGCACATCGGAACGTCTCGGGGCACATCGACTTTGAGTTTGAGATGTCCTTTTGAAGGGCCCCTCTTAAATCCAACCGTTGTTTTTTTTGTTGTGGCGTCCCAACACATTTTGCCAGGCACATGTTCGAGCCCTTTGGCATTTTCCTGGGGCTGGGCCCTTAACCAACAAAACCGTGAAACCAAATTCCCATGGCCACTGCTTGTCTGGCTGAAATGACGTCGACCCACCAACTGACAAATCTTGGGGTGTGAAACATGGAAGCCCATCCGGACTTTTTCTTTTGCCGCTTCAAAAAGGGTCCTTTCATAGGGTTCGCGTACTTTTTCCCAAAAAGGCTACCCTTTTTCTAATCATGGAAGTGGACAGGCTTCCCCAAAAGGCAAGTAGTCTTCCAGGATTCCAAAACCCTACTGTCAGAGTTGTTGGAGGGAGGGTATCTAGTACCAACTCAAAAAGATGTCCGGCTTTCTCCTGCCGGCCACGTCTGGGATTCCGACCCCTTTTGGAGGCCTGAATCGACACCGGCAAAACCAGACTGGGCGCTGGGGAAAATATCTTCCAATGGCGTGCCATCTTTAAAAGAACATTTGCAGGACGTGTTGTTGCCCCGCAACAAGGAGGGGCATCTCTTTTGGTGAGGTCCCCAGTTGGAACAGTTGCACTTGAAAATGACAACTTTTTGATAGGCGTTTGACAAGAACAACTTGGAGTTTGAAACAGGGGGACCCTTTTTTCTAGGTAGGCGGGGATTCTGTCGCGATTGGCTTTGACCTGTGGGAACCTGGGCTACCGAGTCACTTCCGTTTGCTGAAAATTCCCCAGCTCAAAGCTCTGGGGGTCTTTGCCCAAAATAGGCTTTGGGGTAGTCCGGGGCAGCTTTCCGGCAGGGTTCCGAGGGCTTCCGGGGATACCGCCCGAGCCGAAGATATGCGTTTCCACTGCTGGTGTCCAAAGGGAATCCATGGCTACTGGTCACATGTTGTTCCAGGTAAGCATATGGAGCTTTGAAGTCAATACCGGTTTGCCGCGATGGGCAAGGTGTTATTTTGCAGGCCAGTTGCAGTTTGCAAGGTAGGTAGGTAGGTAGCTAGGTCAAGTACCACGTGCTTCACACGCAACCTGCCTTTGGCAGGTACATTACTGTCAGACCCTGACGCTTGGATGGCAACGACATCCGGCAGTGGGAGGTTCGCCATCTGCTTTGAACATCCACTTTGGAGCCCAAACACCGCCAGGGGCAAGACAGGGTAGGTTCTGCACAAGCAACTCTGGTCGTCGTTTGGCGGAAACTCTCTTAGAATCCCTCCATTATATAATTATGCTCCTTTTTTCCCCTATTGGTTTTCAAGGGAATCTATGACTGCTGCGGATGGACGAAATCCTTTTCGCACCACTTTGAACCATGGTTGAAACCATAAGGTTTGTTGGTATTATGCCGCGTGAGAAATTGCTGCGCGCTGTATGGGGTGATCAATATTCCTTTTTGCCTCCAGCCAAGGGTAGCTTTTCCAGATGTGGTTGAAAGATCCAAAATATTTGTCTTGCGGCTTTCCAGATTCCAACCAATGGTCATCCCATGTGCAAGACCTTTTGATTAACCCCCGTGTTTACAGTCAACCGCCCTCAGTACTTTGCTTGAGTAGATACACTCGCCAGAAAAAGCGGCTCAGTGGCTCAGTGGCTCGGCTGTTGGCCCCGGATTATCCAGAGCTGCCGTGAGGCCGGATTTTCCCCAAAGATTTGGGAAGTGCCCGACATCGAATTACACGGCTTGAAGGCTTAAACTTATAAACCTGAACGGAGTTGTTGTTTTTTCTCCTTTTTCTTCCGAATCTTCTCAGATAGCTCGAATTGGTGGTTTGGGTTGGTGGTTACGGTCTGTGTGTTGGGGGGGGCTAGTTGGGAGATTTATTTCAGAATTCAGGATGGCGCCGCGTGCGTGTTCCGCAAAAAAACAAAAAACAACAACAAGAAACCGCCTCTCCCCAGAATCCCAGTGAGATTTTGTGAGGTTTTGTTGTGGTTGATCACGTCCTTTTTTCCCCATAGGCGCCTAGTGAGATTTTGTCAGGTTTTGTTGTGGCCCAGGTTTCCATAGGCGCCAGGTTTCCACTCAAAGTCTTGGCGCCTGGGATGACCTGTTTCCCCTGCGGTGTTGAGGGAAGGAGCTTTGGGTAATCAAGCCCATGGTTTCGAGGGCCGTGGATCGGGCAGTGCCTCTCGCAGATTTGTTCGGTGCCTGTCTTTAGTTTCAGCTCCCCTGTAAGACAAACAGAATCAAGCGTCATAGGCCCATCGAAGCGAGGGTCGAACTTGCCACAGTAAACGCTTTGGTGCGTGCCGATTACCAACGAGCAGCTCCGACTTAAACCAGGGGCCGAGGGGCCAGGCTTAAACAAAAACTCGTCCCAGTCCCTAGGTTTACCTTCACATGCCGTTGATATAGGGGTGTTTGTTTTTGGACTTTTTGGTGGATGGATGGGATGGTGCAAGGGAAAGATCAAAACCACACTGGAAACCAGTGGCATCTAGTTGGACAGCAGTTTGCGCAGGGCCCATGGGGCTTATGGCCGAAATCTCATTCATGCTAACAAGCAGAATTCCTGATATGCTTTCATCTCGGCGGAGCTCGTTTGTTGACTTTCTTTAGGTTCCCTTGCGGTCCGACAGAAGAGCGGAACGAAGGAGGACCCAGCCAGACCTTGAGAGATGGCGAGTTTTCCTTCAGTCTTCTTAGAGTCAGGCTTCCTTTCATTATCTTGCGTCCCCTTGAGCAAGTGTTTGCTGAAGCCGTGCACAGCCCGCTGAGGCTGCGTTTGGGGCTTGCTGGCCTTTGGCTGGCCGATGGCTCAGAGTGGCCTTTGCTTGAAGCACCCTCGGCCTTCCGGAGTTTCTGGACTTTGCTCACTTTTGGCTAGGTCCAGTAGTGCCAACTTTTACCAACTTTTTTGGGGGAGGGTTCCCCTGCTAAAATAGACTATAGAAAAACAATCGGGTACCCTGATTCTAACCTCTTTACTGGAGGACCTAGTTTGGGTTGCTTGCCACTTTGGTGGTAAACAACAACAAATAATAGACTTCTTGTGGGCCATCTACTCGGGCAGTGAGTTGAGGCTAGCAATGCCAGCGTGGCCCAGGGAAGCCTTACATGGGGTAGGCCAAGCAAACATTTAAAACACAATATTGCAGAGCTGTCGACTAGGATACTCTTGAGCTTTGGGTGTGTATTTCTTTGGTGCATTTGATGTTAGAACTGAACAACTTTTTGCCAACTAGTGGGTTTCCGAATTATACCACTAAAAGTTAGACTTTAGCAGGGGAGAAGAAAGCAACCGAGATTTGGTTTGTCGTAGATAGGGGGCCAGGCCGCTTTTGTTCCGAGGCTGCCAAGAGCAAGGAAGACGCGCCGCCTACGCCAGCCTCTCCGGAGGCTCCCTGCACCAGCTGTGCCTGCACCGGCTTTGCTTCATACTTCGCAGTGCCCCGGACATCAGGTGTTGCGCCATGCTGTGGATGGACAATATCCCGCACCAATCTGAGACTACGTATGGTAAGCAATTGTTTGTTGGTGCTCATATACAGGGGAATCATCATTCACGGGTTTCTGAACGGTGGTGCGAAACGGAATTCAATTTCAACCATCCACAGTAGGAAAACAGCTTTTCGCGCGCAGGAGGCGGCGCAAACCGGAGCACTGTAGAATTCGTGGTTTCCGTGGCGTGCACGTTCAGACCCTGTTTGTGGGGATCCCAGTCTAAGCGAAACCTGGAGATATCATGGTTTTGGTATGAACCTCTTGCGAAGCAGGCCGCACTTGCCAAGAAGGGTCTCTTTCTTCTTTAAAGGCGGTGAGCTGCCTATGTTGGCTTGCAGCCTCTTCCCAAAGTTGACAAGTGTGCGAGCCTCATGCCCTGTTCATCCCTTTTTGTGACATGGCACCCGGCACTCGGCCCGCTTCTGCGTGGTTGAGTTCCTTCCCAGTTGCCCAGTGGTGCCTGTTTTTTTTTTTAGGGGGGGGAACGGGGTCCCCTTTAAACTCAACCAACCAAAAAAGGATGCCCTTTTTTTCCCATGGAAATCCACTGGGCATCTGAGCCTTCAATGTCTCAGGATTCGTCTTCATTGTGCTACGGACTCAACCAAAATTGCGGGCTTTGAGAAAGCCAATGAAATCAGTCACTGCTGCTGCTCGGAAAAACGCGTCGCTAATCACTGCGACAAGCTCATACTATAGTATAGTGCTCGCCTTGCGTCATGAGTGGGGCAGACAGTTGCACTGTCAGGCCACATGGTTATCCCTGCCCTAGCGGGTCAGTGTTAGAAGCAGCTCTCTCACGAAACGTGGGTAGGCCATTTTAGTGGCAAGCAACAAGTTTGGTGAGTTGCTCTGGCCTATCTACTCGTTCGGAAGTGAGGCTATGTTTCGCTTCGGCGGATACACCTAAAATCAGCAAAGGGTTTTGGAAATGACCCGCAAGGGGAGCCCCGTAAAGGACACCGCAAGGGATGCTTTGTAGGGGTCATTCTCGCGTTCTTTGTTGAGAATCAGGAAGAGGCCATGCTTGAGCCGAAGAAGGGAGTTGTTTGCCAAGGGGTGTTGTTGTTCTTTTGCTGACCCCTTTGTTGTGTTGTTTTCGACTCGTATTCGGCATCTTTTTCAATCTCTTCTGAACTCATGTAATTTCGTGTCCGCACCAGATGGAGCAGCTTCTGGTTGCATCGTCGATAGCCACTGGCGCCGGAGTTTGTCCACGAGGTTTACACCGCTGCTTATACCTTCGGTCCGAAGCAACGCAGCCCTCAACCAATCCGCTCAGCCGGTGGCCCGGATGCAGGTCTGGTCGAGCCACGCGCCGAACCACGTCCACCAGGCAAGAAGGGGTATGCAGCAAGGATTGAAGCCCACAGGCCCCAGAGGAGCACCACCCCTGTTGTTATGGGGGGTGCTTTTCCCGGGTTTTACTGGGGATGTATCACTTTCGAAAGGGAACACCCCCATATCAATAAACCAGCGTGTTTGTTCATCCGGGGTCAACACTGCGCCAGATGTCCAGTGAAAAGACCGATGTGGGCGTGTCTTTTTTTTAGGGGACCCCTCCCAAACCGAGTTTCCTTGCAGCTTCCCTTTAAGAAACTGCCTAGAGTCTCCATGACCCCTAGAAAAAGGGGTCGTAACCCCTTGATTTTGGGTTTGTCTCACACACAAAATCCTTACAACCCCAACCACAGGTCCTCAAAGTAGACAGTACCCTTCTATCAGCTTGTGACAACCGGGACGGGCAAAGGACTCGGGATCGTGGTTTTGACGGACTCGCAATTCTTTTACCCGGACGCCCAGCTTGTTGCTCCCAGCTCTCTCTTTTCTTGTAGGGGGTTGGGCACCTTTAAGATAAACCAACCAAAACAAGTGCATATGGCCACTGGGTTTGCAAATGCCAGTTGTTTTTGCCTCGGGTCAATTGTTTTCCCCATGGAGTTGAACAAGGAGACGTGAACTTGTTTTTTTCCTTTTAAGGGGGGGATGGCGCGGGTCATGGCCTTTCAAAGTGTTGTTCGACTTTGCTGATCCGGCAAGTTACTGGTTAGTTACCTAGGTTGCTAACTTCGCCGAGCACCCAAGTATAGAGCTGCTCGGGCAAATTCCGGAGTTTTGTCAGGATGGACCCTCCAACAGAACGCCGGTTCCGAATTGAGGAGGTTGGTTTCAACGCTTTGTTCAACTGGTTATTCAGGTTGGTTTCCTGCTGGTTTCTCCTTCAAGACCAAGAAAGGGATCCCAACATAGGAGAAACACCCATGTGTGCGTGTGTATGTTTTCGGGGGCCCAAAAAGAGTTGTGGTTCAATCCAAACTTTGAAAAAAGAGTTGGACCCATGTGGGTTGCTGCCAAGCTTGGGGTTTTTGGGGGCGATGTTCATTCGGTTCCGCGGAGTGAGCTTGGATGCTCACTCTCCGAGCTCCTGGACTTTAAGCTTTTTGGGTTTGGACAATTGAGCCACGTCCTCAAAACCGATTCGGGGATTGATGAAGGTTAGTAAGGGGCAGTCCCAGTCAGAGTTATAGTTGCAGAGATCCGCCTTCTTAGTTCTTGAAGCATGGTTCTGGGTAGACCATTTTAATACCGCGACTCAATTTAAGTGCCAAAACACAAAGGTTACTGGGTCCCCCAGCTAGGTGCAAGCTTCTCTCCCCTTTTTTTGGGGAAGGGAGGGTTCGGGACCCTACTAAAATAGACTACAGACAAAAGACGGTACCCTTATTCTAACCTGTCTACTGGAGGACCTAGGTTACTTTTTCTGGCCCCACTCAGGAAGTGAGGACGAGCCACAATGGTGCAATTGAAGCTTGGGAGGGGCGCAGCGGCCGCCCTGCGTGACTCTGTTGATCCTTTACAAATGGTTTCGGGTACAGTAGACGCCTCCAGTGCCAAGCTTTGTTTCTCACAAATATTGCCATTGCTGTTAGGGACTCACGCCAGCATTCGCCCTTGTTCACTTTCGGGAAGGTTCCCCGCAATGGCTCACTACGTGGCACATCCTGAGCGCAGGTGCCACAAAACCGCCCGAAGTTCTACGTAGTAGCCTAGAGCCGTGTTGGTTCCTTTCCTCACTTGCCCAAAGTGAATTGAGCTTTAGACCGTTTGGCCTTCCCATTTTGTTCACATTTTGACAAGCCAAACCACACAGCAATGTTGGCCACCGATTAGTAAACCCGTGCTGTAAAGTGGGTGCTCCCTCCAAAAGTGATGAATCCCCACTAAACAGGAACACCGCTTATAAACGAAGCAAGGGTTTGTTAATTTGGGTTTCCCGTTGAACACGACCAGCATGCTGCACTATCAACTTGGCACTTGAGCTAACCATTGCAGATAGGGGGATGTTTGCAATATTGATGGCTTTGCTTGCAACACTTTTCAGCTGCTGAATTTATGGCGAGAAATTAGAACGAGCAAAAGCCATGAAGGCCCCTGACTTGGGGTTCCAATTCTTGATTCAGGTTTTGGAATTATTGTAACAGTTGCAGGTTTCGCTCACTTGCCTAAAGCGAATCGACCGGATCTGACCTTTTGATTTTCCCGTTTTGGTCCAATGTGTGTCATGGCAAAGGCGATCGCCTTGTATTTCGGGGTCCGTAAAGGGGCAACGGAGTTGAGGGAAACCCAGGTAAAACAAAAAAAAAGTCAGGGTTGCAAATCCAGCTGAGCGTCAGGTCGTCAGCCGAGCTTGGCGACGCTGGTGGTTCGCCACACGTCGGGGACCTCGAGCTACGACCCAACCCCGAAGCTCTTCCTGAGTGCTGTTTCGGACTTTGCCTCTTTTTGAAAAGACAGGTTTTAGTGGTTTGGGGGCAGGGGTTCTCTTGGAACCTCCATTTCGAAGGTAGTTCTGAGGATGTTGAGGTTGGTTGCGACATGTTTGTTACACAACACAGTCATCAACAATCAGAACTTGCTTCTTCATCTTGACCGAACATTAATAAACATCTGGTTGATGTTTGATTTGGGGTGGTGTCCCTTTTTTTCAAGGTTTATCACTTTTGGAGGGAACACTGAACACGCCTCTATTAATAAGGCAGGTTCTACTTAGATCCGCGGTCAGCATGGGCATTTCTCTTCGGGCCATCTCGAGGGGAAGTGAGAAAAAGGAAATGAACAATTTGGACACACGATCTCCCGTGGCGGGTCTCCCTTTTGGCATACTTCACTTAAGAAATTCGGCCAAGTTAGTAAGTGGGGATCGCCACTTAGGGTATCACAAATAACAGGTTACACCCCCTTAGAGAGACTTATAAGTGGGTTATAACCGAGGTTACCAACAGCTTATCAACTTGGAAAATCGAGCATCCAAGCAATGGATGTGTTCCCCAAAACCACGACCTCCTTTGAAACAAAGGTGGAGGTCCATTCCCCTCAATAAGTTGAATATGTCTCACTTCTTGAGTTCATTTCGGACATGAGTCGCTTGGGTTTGATATGAACCGCGGATCTGATGTTGCAACGAGTCCCCAAAGATGTCTTCGGCAAGCATCCGCCAAGCATCGATCTGGACCTTTGGGCTCAGTGGTACCCTTTTTCTTTTTCCAACTTTTTCTTGGCCCCACGAAAAAATCGTTCTTTCCCAAAAAGGGTTCCAATTCTCTTGTTTTCCAGGGTCACTGAACAACTGAGTGGGACATGACAAGAGTTGTACACGACTTGATCATGGCTGCTAGAATTGCGGTCGCAGGGACACATCAAATCCGCTCTCTGTTACGATATCTACTCTTTTACAGCTATTTTGGTGGGTCTTTTTTTGAGGGAACCCTTTTTGGGTTGGTTTAAAGGGAGACCAAAAGGAACACCAGCATGTTGGCTACCCGAATCGTGGCCCAGGGAGTTTCATGATTACAACTCTCTTATGACTGATTTCCAGACAGGTGCCTAGATTGATTCCCTGAAAAGAACACCAACCCTGTGTATAGTGCACAGTGGCTTTGATTTACTTCATCGGGGAAATGGCGGCCGCCCTGCCTTCGAATCCATTCCCGTGCTATAGGTCTTCTCCGAAAACATACGACATACTTTAGGGCAGAATTATGAAACCGGCTCAGAAGATATGATTTCCGTGTGGATGTGATGTGGTTGCCAAGATGTGAAGAGGCTCGCTCCGTTTCGCTCGCCGCCGGCTCCAAGCTTCCATCGGGCCCCAAAACGGGCCCCAAAAGGGTCCCGCATGCGCAGTCCACGGGAGATTTGCCCGGAGGATGCGCCGGAGGAACCTCTCATCTCGCAGGTGTGGTTCCTTCGGCCCCCTTTCCCCGGGGGAGGAGGTACTCGGACTCCTTGGCGTTCCAGAAAGTCCCGGCTGGGTTTGGCTATTTGTAGAGAACCCCCAAAATTGGAGGTGATTCCATTTTGCTGCACCAAGGCAGCCATCCTTTGTTTCTTTCTGCAATAAAAGTGGCGAAGTGTTATCTACCATACCCAGAGGCTCCTGGCTTCGGCTTTCAATGGAAGACCCGGCCCCTCCATTAGACCCGGGGAATTGGTGGGACCCGGTCTCAAAACCAGGTGGTTTGAAGGCCCCAAACCAATGGAATTGGAGCCTCTGGGTAGTTGCAACAAGTGTTGGGATCCATTGGGTTTGAGAGTTGCCAGACGACTTTTGCCTTTCTGGGGATCCCAGCGTTTTCCCGTGTCAGTAAAAAGTTTAACATATACAGGGGGTCCAAGTCTGGGCAAGTTTTAGCGTCCAGTCAATCCAGGGGAATGAATGCAACTGGGGAGTGTACTGAAGAATGAGGGGATGGGGACGTGGTATTTGCAACCTGGGATTTGTCCCGGCAGCGGATGTTGTTTTTAGTAGCATTGGCCATGGCTCAGGACGGGGTGGTGTTGGCTGGCTGAGGGGGTGGTTTGGCTTCGGCTTTGCTTTGCTCGTTTGGGTGGCGCTTGGGTTTTCGAGCTGGCTTGCCGGGTTGCACATGTAGGCCTTTCCTCGTGAAAGCAGTGCTGGGAGGTTGCCATAGGTCAGCGGATCAATCCCAGGATTGAAGCAAATTTACCGGCCTCAACTTAGCGCTATTGTTGGTGAAAGTTCAAGTTCCCTTTAGTAGTGTTTGATGAATTCTCCTGGAGACTAGCCAGGATAGCTATGTATCTATATATGTTATGTATCCATCTGCCTATCTATCTATCTATTTATTTCTCTCTCTCTAGATATCTGCGTCTCTGTCTCTATATCTATCTACCTACCTACCTACCTACCTGCCTACCTATGTATCCACGTTGGCTTGACTTGTAGAGAAGCGAACTAGAACTCCATGGTTTACTCCCAGCACCCAAAAAGGAGGTGTTCCAAAGCAGATTCCTTTAACAAGCTACCTGATTTTCAAGTTTCCAACTTAAACATGAGTGATTGCAACCCAAAAACATGGGGTGCATTCCCTTTTTTAGGGGTAAGTGGTCGAGGCTTTTCGGGTTTCACGTTAATTTGCCAGAGTATAATTTGAGAGTCAGTCCACATTCGGCGCCCAAGACCAAAACCGCGGCCGTTTCAAAGCTCTTCAAATGCGATTTGCACGTCTGGTCTCCTTGTCGCCACCGGGGCATGCTGGTTTGGCACGTTGCCATTGCCATGTTTGAAGAAACAGCCACCAGGGATGTCTTTGTTTGAGGGTAATTACCCCTTTGCGGTGCGGTGTGAAAGGAAACCGAAAGGAAAACCACAGGGGCTAAAACTAGAGACGCCCAGAAGGTGATTGATGGAAGGGTGGCTGGTTCGCAGTTCGAAAAGACTTGTCACGGGCTTTATTTTTGGTCTTTTTAGTGAACACCCAGTTTTGGTTGGTTTCTCGGAAAACCAAAAGGAAAACCAACGCCAATTGGGGGGTCCCCTGAAAAGATGTACATCCTCCTTTGGCAATCTCAGTGGTTCAGTGGCACTTCTTCTTCTATTTTTCTTTTTCTGGTGGCTGCCCCACTAAAAATGGTCTTCCCCAAAAAAGGTTCCCTTTTCTTCCAGGGTCACTGAACAACTGAGCAATTTGGTTTTGATGTCCAGTTCCCGGAGTGCATTGGTCCACTCGAACCGAACTGGAATCGGGCTCGAAGAAGGTGACGCCAGAACGACGATGGCCTCGCGTCCGGCTGGGGATTGCTTCTCTTTGCAGCCTCCTCTGTGCAGCATCACTGCTGCTTTGGGCATACCCGCGGGCAGATCGTGTGGCCAGGAGCAATTTGGCTTGGGTTTTGTTTGCCTTGGAGACGGGAAGAAACGTACCTGGTGCAACCCCACAATGTTGGTTCAATCACCCAATTTTCAAGTTGGAATTGTGAGGGTCCAGGTACAGGCTTACCCCAAAACTGCCCCGTGTTTTTTCTCGGCGAGTTTTCAGCCGTCTGTGCTCTCAGGGGCTTGTCCACACCTCGTTTGGGAGTTATCGGTGCACGCCGTGGATCCCCTTTTGCTTCTGGTTTGGGGGAACCGGACCATGAGCTTCCCCACAAGTCACACGGTGACAAGTTCTTGACGCATTTCCATACCGATGTGTGTGTGTGTGTGTTTTTTTAATCTAAAAAAAAAAGCACTAGAAACGCCAGAAAAGGTTCTGCCCCAAATATTGTCCAATTCTAACGCCGGGATCGCCGGGTTTCCTCCGTTTCTCTTTCTGGAAGCTCCAAAAGTGGCAGCTCAATGGGATGTTTCCACTGGTTGATCAACCTTTGAACGGGACCTCCAGGGCTCCCTAAAAGATCTCCGTTTTGCAACCAGTTTTTTGCCACCAGTTGAAACATGTTGCGCTTTTTCAACACCAAAATGTTAAAGGAAACCAGCATTTACAAGTTGCAACGTTCAGGTGTTTCTAATGTACGGGATCCCTGGATTTTGAACGGGACCTCCAGTGACCCGTGCCTATTGTCCTTCGGCTGGAGAATTGCAAACGGCGAATCCCAGGTGTGAGCTCCCCACCATCTTTAAAGGGTCACGGAGACTTCAGGTACTTGGGTGTTCGTTGCCAGGTTGGCCTACTTGGTAGGTAGCCGTTTGCTTATAAACCCATTTACAAGTCCACTCCCATGAATGTGGGGGTTAACCTTGTTATACCGGCATGGGACCCCATATGGCCTGTTTTTTGGTCATACGCCTTTGACCGACAAAAAATGCCATACGGATTTGAACGTGTTCTTTTGCGACAGCATGTTGAACATACGGGTGATCTACGCAAATTTGTTCGGCCATGCGGGCAAATGCGGCCAAATACTGGAGATTGACCGAAAAAAACACAGCCATACGGGGTGCCAGGGGGTTGTATGCCAAGTGGCTAACCACTTACTGACTTGGCCGAACATCCAAGTGCCAGAGCCAGGGCGGGGTAGAAGTTGTCTAAGCAGGTATCAGGGACTTGTCAATAATAAAGAACAGTCGTGGACTTGTGTTGGATGACTAGAATTGTAAGGGCACACAAAAGACAGCGCTATTCAGACAGTTCCTCCTTCAAGACATGCAAAAGGAAGTCCTTTCCTGAAGCTGTCCGTTTGTGAGCTCTGCACCTTTCGCTCAAAATGCCCAGTACTCGGAATTGCCTGCCATAGCGGTGGAATCTATTGCAGCCTGGTGACTATGAGGCCATCAAAGCTGCAAGTCAACATGAACATCCTCTTGGGGTTGTCTGGACGGGATAATATGTGCGTCACATCTGTATACATCTATATATGCAAAAATATCAATGCAACATGTATGTCGAAACTAGGCAGCACTCGCAACAAATAGGATGGACTTCATTAAAACCCTTAAAGGTACCCTGAAAGGCATGAGGGCAATTGTGCTTGCTCTCCAACTCGAGGGTTTCAACAGTACATACATACCCCTTTGGCCACACAGTGGCTGTATTGCATTCAACTCCGGGGGCAAACAATACATCCCACAAAGCCAACAGACTCAGTGCCTGTCACTTCTGCAACCATCAAACCTAAAGGTTCGAACACTGGAAACGTTACCTATTTGTCTAGGTGCCCGAGTAGTGCCCGTTTACCCGTTTTTTGGGGAGGGTTCCCCAACTAATACACTACAGAAAAAGGGTACCCTTATTCTAACCTCTCTACTGGAGGACCTAGTTACCTATTTGCTTTGCGGCCCTAAAGAATATATGTTTCTCTTCCCCTGACGTCCTAAGTCTCACGTCCTGAGTTGGACTTGAATCACTTTTTGGGTTTCGTTGCCATTTTAGTGGTTGACAAATAACACATTTGACGTGTTTGGCCAATCCGCTGAGAAAATGAAATAAGCCCCTGGTTGATTTTGATCGGGGGTGTCCCCTTGTTAGTAGGGGTTCCTCACTTTTGGAGGGAACCCCCCCGTATTAGCAAACTGGGATTGGTGAATATGGGGTCAACATTAGTGGAACTGCGAAGTGCTGTGCTTATGAAGCGTGGATTCCTTATCCAAAACAACCATTTGCTTAAGAATGTTGTTTGTTTTGCCCTGCTGGTCTTAAAGGGAATCTATCACTACTGGAAATATGTGCGTTTTTTTTCCAGGGGGATGAAATCATGTTATTTTGGACCATTTTGGGCCATTCCCAAGGGTGTAGTCCCAGGGTGGAATACAACAACCCTGGAAAATTCCATTTCACCGACTAAACGTTCGTCCCTTGTAGCGGGGGATCTGAGAACAGCCCAGTATCCAGGTTTGGACCTAAGTCTCCATGACCCCTTAAAAATGGGGTCATGACCCCGTTATTTTGGGTAATGTCCACATTTTTAACTTTTTTAAGGGGTCGTGGAGACTCTAGGACAGTTTGTTTGCTTTTTTTACTGGGGGCCTAAGCAAATGGAAGAAACTTTTTTGTTTGGTGAATTCCGAAGTTTGTCTGGCCACCTTCCGCGCCAGGAGTGCGAGCGATCCGATTGAGGCCATGGCGGCGTGGCAGGAGATCCTGGAGACCTATCCCCGGAACTCCTCCCAACAACTCGAGGAGTGGGCGCCTAGGCCGCAAGGGAAGGCTAGGTCCCCGCAAGTTGGTGTTTTGTTTGCTTGCGTGGTTGGTTTGATTGGTTGGTTGGTTGGTTTGCTTGCTGTTTTCCTAGAGTCTCCTTCTGACCCCTAGAAAAGGGGGTCATAGCCCCTGAATTTTGGGTACTGACCGACCATGTTTAAACAGGGCTCCTGAAAAGATCTCCATTTTGCAACCAGTTGAACCATGTTGCTTTTTCAACACCAAAATCAAGGTGGAAACCAGCATTTACAAGTTGCAATGTTCAGGTGTTTCTATTGTAAGGTTTTATATGGGTCAGAAGGAGACTCCTTGCGGCTTTTTTGCGTTTGTCTTTCTTTTTCTCGGAGCCCCAAGGCCGCCATTGCTTCACCACTGCCAACTTGTACTGTTTCTTTTTTGGTTGGCAGAGTTCCCTACTAAAATAGACTACATAAAAATGGGTACCCTTATTCTAACCTCAGAAATAGACTACAGAAGAATGGGTACCCTAACCTCTAACCTCTCTACTGGAGGACCTAGCCACGGTCAGTTTTCGCTTTTCGCTCGATGTCCAAGGAGCGGATACCTGGCATGGCGAAGGTCATTGAGCACGCCAAGAGCGCCCTGGCTCTGTCAGCGTTCGGAAGTTGTGTGGTGGGCAACCTGGGGTTTAGTTGCCACCGTGAAAACACTGGGTACATCAAGGATGGTGAACCAAATGGTACCCAGTGGATCAAATTGAAACCACATTGGTACCCCACACTCGAGGTTAGTATGATTTACCCAAGGATTTTCAGAATCCAGATTGGGTCAACCATTCTTTTTAATTGGGTTTGAACCCCACCCTGGGGGTTGATTAATATTCAATTTAGGGCTTTTGAATGACCATGGGTAACTTGTCCATGTAGTGGGAAATATCGTCTTTTCAGTGGTTTTCCTCAATCGCCCCGTAGTTTTAGGAGCTTTTGATCAACCCCCATATCTCCAGTGCACCGTTTCCGGGGTTTTGGGGACTTGGCCGGCAAACCCAAAAGGCACATCTCAAGGGCTGAAGGTCGTCCATGAACCTTTGGTATGAACCCCGTTATGTTGATGGTATCTAGGTCCCCCAACAGTGCCCTTCTCTCCCCTTTTTTGGTTGGGAGGGTTCCCGTACTGAAATAGACGACAGAAAAAAGGGTACCCTTATTCTAACCTCTCTACTGGAGGACCTGTAGGTATGAATGTCGTGTGTCAAACGCTGAAACGCTGGGGGAAGCCCCATTAAATCCACCAAATGGGGTTGCAACGAAGAGGTCTAGCATTGCAGACATGTCACAAGGAAGGTGGAGCCAAGTTTTGATGGTCAAAGGCTGAACCCAACTGCAGTTTATGGCGTAATTTAGCCGTTAGTTACGGCTTAATTCTGGGAAATGAGTCCTGAAAGGGTCCAAAATGGCAAAGGGTCAGGTTCATAATATGGACCAATACAATCAGCCTTTGAGAGTGGCATATTTGTTTGGAGCCCCCTTTTGCTTGGTTTCAGCTGAAACCAAAACGAAAACCATGATTTGTGGGGGTTCCCCCGATTCTAGGAAGAACCGATGTGGTGGATTCATTTCCTTTAAATAGATCATTGGTTAAGGAGAAGCATTCGGACCACAGCTGGAAGCCCCCCAGCCCAGATGGCTGGCAAGCCTGCGATTGGATCTTCCTAGGGACGGATCGAGCAGGAAATGGGTAGTATTCCTTATAACCCACTTACCAATACCCTGGTTAGAAGTAGGTCGGTAGTTAATTATAACCAGGGTTTCTAACCGTTTAGCTGAGTCCCCTAGGTTTCCCAGTAGTCCCCTTTTGCCCTTTTTTGGGGAGGGTTACCAATACCCTGGTTAGAAGTAGGTCGGTTATAACCAGTTTCTAACCGTTTAGCTAAGTCCCAGACAATCTAAGTACCCCTCAGTCGATGGTATCCATCGGTGTTTCGAGGGTTTGCACCCCCAGCTTTTGTCGAGCGTGGTAAGCCACTCGGTTTCACCCCTCAACCACCTCCAAACCACCAATCAGAGCGAAGCTGATTGAATGATTGAATGTTGACCCCGCATCTACTTAGAATCCCCCTTCTTAATAGAAGTGGGGTGATGAATGCCCACCTTTTAGCCCGTTGCCTGCTTAATCCGCAAGCAGGTGCACAATGGTGTGGTTTCCGATCACCTGCCAGTCACAAGACCAAAATTTGAGAAACCCAACCAGCTGTTTCAAATACGCATTCTGAGAAGCCAACCAAACCAACCGCACACCACATAAAGGAAGGTGCTAGTTTCCCAGAACCTTAAAGTTTCGTTCGAGGCTTTCCTGGGGAAGGGGTTTGGGAGCTTGTTCAACACATACCCTCCCTCCGCTCCAACAAATTTGCAAGTACCTGGAGTCTTTTTCTGACCCTTTAAAAATGAGGTCATTACTCAAAATAAAGGGGTTATGACCCCTTTTTCTAGGGGTCAGAAGGAGACTCTAGGTAGACTGGCTCCCATAAAAGTAATCTCCCAACACGCGCCTGTCAGCTTCCACGGAAGGAGAGTAGCCTGACACAACCACTCACGGAATCTTCGGGGGGGGTTATGAGGGGGGGGGGGCTATCCCTGGATAAGCCCAGGATAACCCAAGGAGAAGCCCTTACTAAGGCCAAAAGGGCTTAATAAGGGAGTTACGCCACCCCTCCCCACAGCCCTCCTTAGGGGTCCACGAACCACCGGTGGTGTGAGTGCCTGGGCCCGAAAATGAGGCCTCGAGCCGAAGATCCCGCTGCGGGGCCTACAGGACCTGTACACTGGATACTCCAACGGCTATGAGGGCACCGATGAGCTCCTAGGTCTCCCAGTGGTGCCAACTTTTACCCACTTTTTTGGTTGGGAGGGTTCTCTTACTAGAATAGACGTCCAGAAAAAAAATGAAAGAGTGGGGATCCTAACCTCTACCCTCTTTACTGGAGGACCTAGGCTCCTTGCCCGAAGGTTGTGTGCCCTGAAGCCTCTCACTCCTCGAGTTCCTGGACTTTGGCCATTTGTTGGCTTTGGACGTTTTCTGGGGCCCGTTCAAGAAGTGGGGTCAACATATGAATTCCCAGACCTGCATTGGTGCCCGGTGTTCCTTGTTTTTTTTGGCAAAGTTTCCCTCTTAAACTCAAGCAGTGGGGTGATTGAAAGCGGGGGACATCCTATTGAAGGGCCTTCCTTGAATCGGAGCCTTCGGGACGCACATCTGGACCCCAAAAATCCCTGGCAACCGACAAACATCCGTCCTTCCCTCCGGGTCTGCGCCGAAGGGGCGCGCCATTTCTCGACTTTTCCGCCGCGGAACCCATGGCTCGGATCGGAAGTTCGGATCTTCAGGGGAGCGTGCAATCAAACCCCGGGGATGGATGAAGGTTCGGGGCAGTCCCAGCCAGAGAGAATTCGTTGCGGAGATCCGCCTGCTGAATTCTTGATTTGCATGGATTTTTTTTCTGGGCAAGTAGACCATTTTAATATACCAAATCGGTTTTGAGCAGGTCATAACCTACCAACAACATACTCATTTGGCCAGGCATTTCAGTATCCTGGATTGCATGTCCCGTGGAAGTGTTTATGAGGGCCCCATTGAATGAAAAGAGTCGAAGCAATCCCAGAGGTACTCAGATTACACATTGTTTAGGGATGCTGAATGAAACAAGATGGCCTGCTTTGTGTGTTCGTTCCTTCTTTCCTGCTTTCCTCCTTTCTTTGTGTCCTTCTTCTCTCTGGTCCTTCCTCCTTCATTCCTTCTTTCCTTTCTTCCTTCTTTCCTTATTCCCTTCTTTCCTTTTGTCCTTCGTTCGTCACATTTATTCGAGAAAAAGACGCGAGCGGAGTCGATTTCAGTCGATGGGCTGCCCGGCCACCAGTTGGTACCGCGTGTCTAGACTGGCTTTTTGTGAGTTGGTACCCCGGTTTGTTGCGTGGGTTTTAAAGGGAAGCGAAAGCAAAACCGCCATTTTGGAGGGGGGGGGGGGTACCCCACTTTTTGGGTTGGGTCTCAAGGAAAGCGAAAGGAGAACTGCCATCTTTTTTTTTGGGGGGGTGGCCCGTTTCAAATCAAAATGTAGAGTAAGTGCGCCTTTTGTTGGTCGGTTTTAAGGGGAAGCCAAAGGAACAATCTCAATTTCGGGGGTCCTGAAAGAGCACAGCCTCATTAAAGCAAGCGACTGAACAACGGACACTATTACGCTGCTGGTTCACTTGGGGGCCTACCCTTTGGTTTTGTAAAGAACCCAATAGTGGGTAGTTTTGGCCCCTCGTCCGTGCATACTGTGAATTGACCAAAACTTGCACCACATTGAATCTATGGGAAACCATGATGGTTTGTTCATATTTACAAGGGAATCAACTCATTCAGGGTTTCTGAACGGTGGTGCGACACGATTTTCGCAACCAACCACACTAAAACCAGCGTTGCTTAAGGTGTTTTACCATCTAAGTTGGGTCAACCCTTGATGTGTTTTCTCAATGGGGTTGGAACCGTTTTTTTCCCAGTTTATTTTAGGTTCACCCCTTTGTTTTTAATAAGGGGGGTTGAAACCTACCGAAACCCTCTTGTGTTGTGTTTGTTTGCCGTTTTTTGTTTTCTTTTTTTTATCCTTTTGTTTCCTTTTTTTTTGAATGGGGGTGTTTGCCCTACGGAAAAGGAGCGTTTCAAAGGTCACTTGGGGCTCTGCCTTTGCGATCCGGACCCCCAAAAAAAACAAGTTGCCAGACGGGGAGTCCGTCCAGTTAAAACTAACCAACCCCCATCTTTCCATCTTTGAGTCTCCCAACCCCAAACCCCGTTGGACTTCCGTGGGAAATTACTTGTCCAGGGCGCCTTTTTCAGTTGGTTGATTCTAAAGGGGGTAAACCTCCCCCCCCCCCCCGGCAGAACAAAGGGATGTGATGTACCCCTTCAACATACTCCAAGAGGCCAAATTACACATGATGTTCTTATGGTCATGACCTAATTTGGGTGAACAGTACCCCGCATGAAATCAAATTATTTCGCCTCTTTTCCACCCCGTGTGTGTGTGTGTGTGCGTATTAGAATATGGAGGATTTCGGACCCTCAACATAGCGAACTGTTTTTTTTCTGTTGGTTTCCCTTTCAGACTCACATGTGTGTGTGTGTGTGTGATTTTTGAAGGTTCTTTTGTTGGTGGCCTTAAAGGGAAACCCAGAGGAAAGCCGAAGCTCATTTTGGGGTGCTACCTGAAAAAAGCCGAGCCGCGTCCGCACTTCTGTAGGCTTCCCTGGGTCCGCACGGAGTGCGTCATCGACACCGTTCAGGTCGATGCGGGAGAAGCGAAGCGAGTTCCGGAGTGCTGAGCTGTCGGTCTCTCCCCGAGTTGCAGGGTTTTCGGACTTTGGTCACTTTTTTGGGCAATGGAACATAGTTTTTGTCACTTTCACGTTTTCGGACTTTGGTTGCCCTTTTTGGTAGAGGAAGGGCTTGGGAGCTGTTGTTTTAGCCAACGGAAAAGAGTTTTAGTTCTCACTTGTTGGCAAGTGGCCCCAAAAGGTGATCACGTTTGACCTTTGGGTCCCTGAGAGGCAACTGAACATCAGGCACTTAGCAATCCTTGTAACCCACTTACCAGTACCCTGGTTGCAAGTAGGTGATACAGTGATAGTCAGGGTTACTAACCATGTCGCTAAGTCAGAGAAAATCCATGTAACCCTTAGTTGGTGGCTTGGACTAGCGGTTTCGGAATTTGATTGCCCCTTGGTGAAATGTGTTGACCCCAAAAGCTTGGACTGTATAACTCTAGGATTCAACCCCCACTAAAAGAAATCACATCAAACAACAATCGCATCAAACAAACAAAAAATCAGGGAGAGACCCCCCCAACAAGAAACAATCAAGAAGGCTTTGGCGTTCCTTTTCCCTTTAACACCTACCCAACAAAAGGCACTGTGGATGGACGAAAACCATTTCGCACCACCTGAGAAACCCTGCAATGAGGATTCCCCTGCAAAAACCAACACACGTCGTTTCCCATGGATTCAAAGTGGTGCTGGATTTCGTCCATCCATAGTATTAACTCCAAAAGAGACACCCGCTGGAAGAGGTTCTCCTTGGTGACACTCGAGCCTTCACAGCCCTTTCGGCTCCCGTGCACGCATGTGCCAGGCGACCGCATACCTGGTGCAGGCGGTGGTGTTTTTGTATCGGGCCATCGATGAGACGGGGCTGAAGCCCGGCCTCGCACAGCCCGATCGATCCCGGTGGGCGTGTTTTGTTTCGAGGATTCTAGAGGTATCTTCCAATTCCGTTCTTTCCAGGGATCCTTCTTTCTGGAAAACCTCCGGAAACCGAGGGAAAACGGATTGGGAATCAACCCCTAGAAGGATAGCCCTTTTTCAGCTTCAGTTGGGTGTGGCTCAAAAATAGGGACTCCAAATGGAACGGTAAATGGAAGCACTGGCCAAAAACAGGCCCCTGGTTCTTTCGAATTTTGAGCCATAGGCAGTTGGTGGTTTGGATTGGTGGTTTTGTAGAGGGCGAATTGAAGCTCCCCCGAACCACCTCCAAGCCACCGATGAGAGAAACATGGATTTTGCGGCTTTGCGGTTACCGGCGCGGCATTAGATAAGGGACCCGTTGCTGAACCTCAGAAGTCGGGGGGGATTCATGGCCCAACTGATTTTTGAGGTGATAGGTGGTTTTTGACCCTTAGTTGGTGGTTTGGATTGTTGGTTTGGATTTGGATTTCAAATTCCAGGTTCTACAGGCTAAATCGGACCCCCCCCTTCACAAATCTGGATGGAAGGAAGTGCGGGGACTCGGACTACGGCTGCGCCATGACGGTCACGGGCTTCATCGCCTCTCAGTTGTTCAGTGGCACCAATTTGTTTGCCCTTTTTTTTCTGGTGGCCCCACTAAAAATTTGGTCTTCCCCAAAAAGGGTTCCCCTTTTTTCCCTTGACCCGGGGAAAGGGTTCCCTTGTTCCCCTTTTTTTCCCTTCCCCAAATTGGTACGGCTCAAAATTTTATGAGCTGGGGCAAGCCGCGGGTTTTAGTCTTTGGTTCCATGTACCTTTTGCCGCCATTTTGAGCCAACCGCGGGTAGTCTTTGGTCCCATTTATATACCTTTGCTGCCATTTTGGACTTCCACTTTTTTGAGCCAAATGGGTTCCTAGGTCTCTGAACTGAGGCCTCCCTGACCTGGGTGGGTTCCTATCTGAGCCTCGCAGCCTCCGCTTGCGCGGAGGAGCTGGATGGATCCGACGTCGGGGGGGGGGGGGGTTTTTGGGGTCGGGTCCCAGGGGCGGAAGAGCCGGGGGCTTGGTGGGCCTGGCGATTGTTTGTTTTCGCAGTTTCCCGAGTTCAAGGAATTTGTTTGCTTTGTGGGCTTGGTTGCCATTTTAGTGGTAAATAGGAAGTGCAGACAAGGTGTTTGGCCCATCCACTCAGGAAGTGAGGTGGTGGTTGGAAGTGAGTTGGTGGTTGGCTTGGTTTGTTTGTTTTTCCCGGCAGCATTGGGAAGAGCAATTCAATCCCAAAGAACGGGCTGAGACTACACCTGCTGAAGTTGACTGTGTTAAACACATCTTCAAGAACCTATCATCAAACCACCTTCAAACTGAATGCCAGTGATTCACAATGTGAAAGTCACCTTAGGTGTCAGTCACAGTGCGAAAAGTCACTCAAACGTGAAATTTCCGTTCACACTTTCGGGCGTCAGTCACAATGTTAATTTCACGTCCAAACTGGTCGGGTGTTTTTCTTGGGTGAACACCACCTTCAAACTTTTCTCCTTCACAACGTTCTTCTCTTGACTATTTAGTCTTCTCTTGTTGGCAGTTTGGTACGACCGACGAAAACTGTTGAAAGTTATCCCCTGGCGGGGATCGGCATGGTTGAGCTGCAAAGCCTGAGGACCTTTGCAACCTTGTTTTGGGCGTGGTGACATTTCTGCGGTCGGCGTGGTCAACGTGCAATAACTGAGGACTATTGAAGACGTTTCTTGAGCTTGTGGACCGTTCCAAATTAAATCACCAAGCAAACAAAGTTGCCCTTTCTCGCGCAGACATCCACTGGGTTTGTCTTAAGATTAGTCAACCCCAAAACTGGCATCGGTTTTCCTTATGTTTCTTTTCCAGAAGACAACCTTAATGGGTATTCTATGAAGGAGCACCAAACGGAAAGCAGGGTGTCTCGTCTTTTTGGGAGGTATCTTTTTGTTTTTAATAAATAGGGACACCAGAAGGGACATTTTTTTTGTTGGGTCCCCTAAAAAGGACACCCCCTCAACCCACCCCCTCAACCCACCCCTTCGACCCACCCCTTGAACCCCTTTCCCCCACCCCCTTCCCTTCCTCCCCCCCCCCCGCCCACCCTCCCCCCTTCAGAGCTGGATCCACAGATTCGCCACATCCCCCTCACCCCCCCCACTTTCTCGGAGCCCAAATCCCAAATCCGACCCAAATCCCGCTCCCATCACCCACCCCCCCACCCTCACCTCCCCACCCCCCACCCACACCCCCCCTCACCTCTAGCTTCTTTTTCCCCTCACCTCTAGGTTCTTTTTTAGTATACTCCTTTAATATCAGATTCGCCACAGTCAGACGGTTATCTAAACTAATGCCCCAGAAGCAATGACTCCTAGCAATGACTCCTAGCAATGACTCCTAGCAATGACTCATAGCAATGGCTCCTAGCAATGACTCCTAGCAATGACTCCTAGCAATGACTCCTTGCAATGACTCCTTGCAATGACTCCTAGCAATGACTCCTAGCAATGACTCCCAGCAATGACTCCTAGCAATGACTCCTAGCAATGACTCCTAGCAATGACTCCTTGCATGACTCCTTGCAATGACTCCTGGCAATGACTCCTAGCAATATTTAATTTCCCCACAAGTTTATACATATTTAAAACTACACTCAAATTGAATATTATTGATTCCAAATTTATTGAATATCAAATTTGATTAAAATTTATTCCTGTATTTTTTATATATAAACTATAGCCAAGTTGAATATTAAATGTTCATAATTATATTGAATATTCAATTTGGCTATAGTTTTATTATATATATTTATATTAAAATATATAAAACTACACCCAAATTCAATATTAAATTTTCCAAAAATAGTGAATTTTAAATTTGATTAAATTTAATAGATTATATATATATAATATTTATTGTTTTATTGAATATTCAATTTGCCTATAACTTAATATATATATATAAATATATATATATATATTGAAATATATAAAACTATATTCAAATTGAATATTACTGATTCTAAATTTATTAAGTATCAAACTTGGTTAAATTTTATTCATAAATTTTTATATATTTCAATTATAGCCAAATTGAATATTACATTTCAGAATTTTATTGAATATTAATTGTGGCTATAGTTTTATTATAATTATTAAACTATATAAAACTATACCCAAATATATAAAACTATACCATGCTGATGATCATGATGATGATGATAATGATGATAATGATGATCATGATGATGGTCATCATGAAGATCATGGTGATGATGATGATGGTCATCATGATGATCATGGTGATGATGATGATGGTTATCATGATGATCATGATGATGATGATGATCATGATGATCATGATGATCATGTTGCTGATGGTGATGATGATGATGATGATCATGATGTGTGTCTGTGTCTTGTGTCTGTCTGCTTGTGCGGGGGTTGCTGGGCTGCTGATGCCTTGAACTTGCTGCCTTTTGGCTCAGCAGCTCCAGCCCTCTCCTCCTGGCCCCATGGGGAAGTCAACCTACCGCTGTGGGGCCCAGAGGCAGGCAGCAGGCGCTGTGTCCTCGTTTGTGTCCTGTCCCTGCCAGGAGGAGATCTGGAAGAGGGGGTAAAGAACAAAGGCCCCCCCCACCTCTGGCAGGCAGCATGGGGGTATGTTATGGGGTGCCTCCCACCCAAAGCAGGAGCAGGGCTTGACCCCCATCATCTTGCCCTGTGGCAGGAACAGCCTGGCAAAAGGGCAAGGATGGTGGGGGTGGCATTCTTGAGCAGGAGCATAAGAGGTTCCCCAAGTGGTACCACTGCAAATGCAGGGGGCACTGGAAGATCCAATGCTCTGAGATCTGGGCTAGTGCATGGCAAGGGTTTTTAAACCCAAGGGCAGTGGAAAGGGTCAGGACTGGCAGGGGCAGGGGCTCCCTTCTCTTGAGGAGAAGGACAGCTGCCTTGTACAGGATTGGGCAGATCAGAAGGAACTTGGGGGTGAGAACTTACACCCAGCTTTTTGGTCGCCCTGACTTGGCTGCATTGGATGGCTGCTGGGAGTGGCTGCAGCAGGCCCTGCTTAGCAGGCCTGAGGCATGAGCCGCCAGGTGACACATGAGTGAAGCAGAATGAACACAGCAGACATGAATGAAGAGCCAGACATGAATGAAGAGCCAGACATGAATGAAGCAACATGACCAGAGCTGGCAACATGATGTGTTTTTTGCCTAAATCCAATGCAGCCCTTGTAGAAAGCCCCTACCTGACCACTGGCCACCAATTGGTGGTGACCAACAGATACATGGAGAAGTCAGAATCTTACAAGCACCAATTGTATTTGACCAACAGGTGCATGGACAGTCAGAATCTTACAAGAAATCAGCATGATTAAGCATGGACCAAGCATTCAAAGCTGTTTTCATAGAAATTGGTGGCCAGACTTTCCATTGCCTTTGCCATTTTTGCTTTCCCAGACTCTGGAAAGTGGCCAGCTGTGGTGTGATGTGTTAAGCTGGAAAAAACAAACAACCAAAAAGACACCAGAAGGGACAATTACATTTTGTTGGGTCCCCTAAAAAAGGACGCGCCCAATTCCCACCCCCTCAACCCACCCCTTCGCCCCACCCCCTCAACCCCCCCCTTTCCCCCACCCCCAATCATATTTAAGGTTGGGTGTCCATGTGATGTCGCACGAGCGCCCCAACTCCATTCCAACCTCAGCGTTTGGCGCATTGAATTGGCATTGACTGCTGAGGTTTTGAGCTGTTCGGGCATGCGGAATGCAGTTGGTCAAGCAAACCTCCCAAGGTTGCATAGTTAGTTTGCACACGCATTCCACATCTGAATTTGATTTTCACCGACCAGCCTTTGCATCAGCAAACCGAGATTATCGCCCGTGCAGGCCTCAGCGTGAGCGAGGCGCAGCGGGTGTCGTCGGGTGGCCGTCGAAGAATGGTATGTACTTGGTTGGCTAGAGGGTTGGCGCCTGCCCAAATTCGAGTGTATGCGCTGATCTAACGGTGTAGTAAAGTGATGCCTTTGCAAATATGCATATCATGGATTGATGGATGACCAATGTATTTGCGGTTCCGGCTTCGCATTGACGAGGGGTTTGGCAACAGCTTTCACGTGGTGGGAGGTTAGATAGCAGTTTGTGAACAAAGCGCAGCCCCATCTAGCGGCTAAGGTGTATTGCGCTGCGTTCACCGCGGTGCTGCTGCTGCACCGTGAGGCGTGTTATCGTCACAGCAAAAGGAAACACTTGCATCGCGCAAGGCCAGCGATTTTGTCGCGAAAGGGAACGGCGACGTACGAGAGCAACTGTTGTGGCTTGGTACTGCTGTGATTGATCACGCTCGGAACACGCGTTGCATTTCGAGGACTTTGTGCCTGTCTTCAGGGTCCGCCCATCCATCCACCAGCCCATTCACATATCCAATGAATTGCAAGCCTGTGCCTGCGCTTTGAACCCTGTGCTTCTTTCGGATACGTAACATTTAAAGTTCTCGTGTCGCGGTTTGATGGCTAGATTTCCCAGTTGCAGCGCCGGCAAGCCATTCCAGCGGGTCCTGTCCCTGCGGTGCCATATCCCTTCCAAATTTGTTTCCGTTCTGGATGGAAGAAGGCCAGCCACGCACACACAAAGTGCAAAAGACGACCATGACCGGACAAAAAGTAAGGTTTTTAGACATGCTCAGATTCCCCGAAAGGAAGCACGAGTCGCAGAAAAGGAGCGCGGACGGCCGGCGATTGAGGAATTCCTGGACGAAGGAGTTTAGGACAACCCCCAGGCAACCCAGGCTGGTTCCATTCGGGTAACCTAATTACTGGGCCAGAGAGGCAAGTGTTTGACATGTTCAAGCATATTCAGAAATGACCGCAAGGAATTTCTCACAAACAGCAGGGTGTTTGTTGGCCATTTGCTCCTCACCAATGTGTTATTCCACGTTGAAGCTTCCCGTCCCAGATGTTGCACAATTTTGTGCATGAATGGGCTCATCATTTTATAAACGAAGACAAGGCATCTCGCAACGGACTGATATTTGTTCCTCGTAACTTGCCAATGGTTGTTTAAATTGAGCGACTCTCTCAAGTTGAGTTGGAGTGCGGCTTCCCTCCGCAGATGGTGCCTAACGTCTACCTCTACCACGGCATCACCATCATAATGGTGGCTTGGCCACCAAGCCGCCGGCCTGTTTAGCAAAGATTGGTTTCCCTGGTTATGAAGGAGTTGTCAGAATAGTAAGGGAGTTCAGTCATACCCCCGGCACCCAGGCACACAACACATAGCATCATGACCAAGGCTAATTTTGGAGATCAAAAGCGCCGCTCCACGCTTGTCATTAAACACCCTTAAACCTACGCAAAACCAACCCTGAACCAACCGTCAAGCCAATCTGAAGCGAACCTAAACCCACCTTAGGCCAACCCTAAACCCACCCTAAACCAACCCTACACCCACCCTAAACCAACCCTAAACCCACCCTGAACTCACGCTAAACCCGTTCTAAGCCCATTTAAGCCGAGCCCGCCAAAACCCTTCCCTAAACCTTCCCTAAACCCAGCCTGATTCCACCCTAATCCTACCCTAAACCACCGCACCCCAACCACCAAACCTGTCCCACACCCACCCTAAAGCCACCCCAAACCCACGCTAAACCAACCCGAAGCCCCCTCAATCCAACCTAAGCTCACCCTATGCCCACCCTAAACCCAGCTTGAACACAACGTTCACCCACCATAAGCCTAAATCAACCTTGAAGCCATCCTAAACACAATGTAAATCCATTCTGGTTCCCTCCCCCCCCCCACCCTCCTGACCTGTTCTTCTCCGTAGGCCTACAGAGCTGGATCCGCAGATTCGCCACATCCCCCTCACCCCCCCCACTTTCTCGGAGCCCAAATCCCAAATCCGACCCGAATCCCGCTCCCCTCACCCACCCCCCCCCCCCCCACCCACCCCACCCACACCCCCCGCTCACCTCTCGCTTCCTTTTTAGTATACTCTTCTAATATCAGATTCGCCACAGTCAGACGGTTTTCGAAACCAATGCCCCCCCCAAACCCCAGCAGGCGGTAAACTCCGACGCGCTCTGCGCGGCGGACTGGCTGGGGCTCACCACCGCCTTCGCCGAGATCGCGCGCGCGGGGAGCTCCGTAGGCGCGGAGGGACTGGCGCGGAGGGACCGGAGGACGTCTCGGGGCTGTTCTTCTCGGGTTTTGGGGGATGGCCAGAACTAGGGGATATTGATTTGTAGGGGACTTTGATTTGGGGGATGTAGGGATTTTGATTTGGGGGAGGTAGGGGATTTTGACTTGGGGGATGTAGGACTTTTGATTTGGGGGATTTTGATTTGGGGGAGGTAGGGGATTTTGATTTGGGGGATTTTGAATTTTGGGATGTGGGGGATTTTGATTTGGGGGATGCTGATTTGGGGGCTTTTCTCGGCGTTTGGGATGCCCATACTGTGGACAGAGTCCTGCACCACTTTGCAACCATGGGAAACCATTGTTGGTTGGTATTTACAGGGGAATCATCATTCCAGGGTTGTTTTAGGTGGTGCAGGGTTTCGTCCATCAACAGTACTGTGGATGGATGCGAAATCCATTTCGCACCGTTCAGACACCCTGGAAAAGGATGATTCCCCTGTAAACAGCAAACAATGGTCTCTCACGGATTCAAAGTGGTGGCTTTGGGGATGCGTGTCTGCTCACTTCCCGAGTTCCTGGACTTGACACTCTTGGGGAAGACCATTTGTTGCCCATCCACCCGGGAAGTGAGTCTGTCGTTTTCTGGCCCCTTGAAATGACTGCCCAGAATTAGGGGGTCAAAGATTTAGGGGATTTTGATTTGTACCCAGCCTATTGATTTAGGGGTCAAAGATTTGTAACCCAGCCTGTTCTATAGTTCTCGCCTTTAAAAGGATGTTCGCCCTTGAAATAACTTTGGTTGTTCTTTTGGTTTTCCTTTTTATTTGGTTTACCTTTTGGTTTTCCCATTGGTTTCCCTTTTGGCTTTCCTCCTGGTTTTATTTTAAAGACCAACAAGAAATATCAACTCCAAAAAAAAGACACCTGTGCCCGGTACGATGGGTGCTCTAAGTATCTTGGGATCCCCCGGATCGGATGCTCTGGCTGCGAAACCCGTTCGCACCACGAAACAAAACCATGGGTTGAAATTTGTGGACAAAGAAATCCAGGGTTTCTCAGGTGGTGCGAAATGGATTTCGCCCATCCGCAGTGATGCAAGTACTGGACCAAGAAAACCTAGTTTACCGCCATTTGCCACGGGTCTGGGTGGATGTCCGGTGGCATGTCCAAGATGAGCCGTATCCCAAACCAGGCTTAGTGGTAGCCGGAATGTGATGACCCTTTTTTGGTTGGGTTTTGAAGGAACACCTAAAGGGACACCGAATCCATTTTGGGGGGTCCCAAGAGAACACGCCCCTATGCCCCGCGAGCGACACGCATGTTTAATGGAACATCCGGATTGAGCAGCAGCCACAGCCACGGATTTGATCGGGTTTCTCGGGCCGTTAGAAGTGGGGATTCAGACCACTTTCGGGGAGCGCTCAGCTTTTCACTTGGAATAACATGGAATCATATACAATGAACGGGGGCCATCCCATCTTGAAAGGATTATCTCCGGAGAAATACACCACTTGATGAATAATGTTAACCCCGGATTCATAAACCCCTGGTTAATAGGGGGGTGGTCCCCTTTTAGTGGGGATTCAGACCACTTTTGGAGGGAACACCCCCCTAATGGGACGGGTTTATTAATCCTGGGTCAACATTAGGGGGGATCTGAAACCTATCACTTGGGAACCAGCATCAAGGGGAGTTATTTTCTGCGGAAGGGAAATGGCGGAAACAACTGGCTGCCTGGATTTCCCCATTAAAAAAAACTTGATCAATGTACTGGTGGTTGTTGCTAGGAAACAATTTACATTTTTGCTGATTGTGGTTTAGTGGTTGAAATCCCCACTTAACTGCTAAAACTTGAATTTTTGCTCCCCTTCCAACGTCAACCAAGTTACTGATGGTGTCCATTGAAATTGCCTTGTTGCAAAAAGGGAACCGGAGGAAACCCTGTGGAAAGCCAGCTGGGAGAGAATGGAAGCCTTCCGATGGAGTGGCCCAAAAAAGTCGAGAAACGTGGCTATCCCGCCACTGAAATGATTTGTCCAAACGCTGAATCTAGGAAGCTACAGATACCTGGAGTCTCCACGACCCTTGAAAAATGGGGTCATTGCCCACCCAAAATTAAGGGGTAATGACCACATTTTAAGGGGTCATGGAGACTCTAGGTAGACACGTTTCTCCGGGTACACGTTGAAACACCGGGGTTTTTCTCAAACTTAGCTCCCTTTTAGCCAGGGGTTGACAAATCACTACCCTACTATGCCGCATAGCACCATGAGAAGAAGCAGGGTATTATGTTTACCAAAGACAAGGAAACCAAAAGGAACAAAAAGGACACCAACCATATTTAACTCCCACGAAACGCCAGGTACCCACTGCAACTTCCCGTCCAAGGCGCGGGTGGGCGAAGGGATCGAAGAAGGGATCGTGGCCGGGCCAACTTTATTATGGGGTGTCCTCTTTTTTTCAGGGCACTTTTTTGGGGTTTGTTTTAAAGGGAGACTCTCCATCTTTGTGTGTCCACTGTTTCAAGACACACCCATTTGTTTACAGGCATGTGGGTCTGAAGAGTTTTTGAGCCTTGAACAGATCGCTTGCGGGTTTGCAGAGTTTGTTCGTTGAGCAGGGCATGTGATTCATATGATTCTGGGTTCACGACATGAGCCCTCTCCATCCATCCCATCCAAATTTCTTGAAGTCTCACTTCCTGAGTTCCTGAGCTTTGATAACTTTTTGGCGTGACCATTTCAGTGGTAAACGAAACAACTTGAGACTTTTTCCGGCCGAAGGAAAAGGAGCCCCTCCCCCCCCCTCGCTGAAATGGGAACCGCTGAGAAAAGGCCCTTGGTTGATTGATTTGAACTGTTCCTCTCTCTCCCTTTTGTTTTGGGGGGGGCGGGGGGGTGTCACTTTTGGTGGGGACACCCTCCAATTCATCGGACAGGTTTCTTGACCCGGGTTAAGAACATGGAACAGAGAAGATGATTAACTGTGGTTGGCTTCCTTTCGTTTTCTGATTATGCGTTGATCCATTAAACAGAGTATGATCTGTCCACCCCTGACTAATATGGAGATCAATTTACCCACGGGAAACCGGGCTTTCAACAAAGAGCCTGAAAACAATGAGTGGATTCAGATTTTTGAAGGGGCCCTCACCCGGACGGGCTTTACTCAGATCCAGGGTGCTGCTCAATTCATAGAACCTGTCCTAGGCCCCCCCTCCCAGAAACACCGCCTAAACACACCAAACCACAAATTGTCTATTTTGGTCCTTTGCCCAGATGTGTTTGGGGGGGTGTTCGGGGCGACCCCTTTGGGGCGTGTGTGTGTGTGTGTGTGTGTGTGTGTGTGTGTGTGTGTGTGTGTGTGTGTGTGTGTGTTTTTTCCCAAAGAGCTGAATTCAGGTTGCGGGTTCCGGAGGGATCCGTTCGCGCGGCGTTGCGGGGCTGTTGGGTCCCGATGCCATCGGGTAAACGGTCCCTGAACATGCTTCGGTTCCCCCCTCTTTTTTTTTCCGGGGGGAGGGGGGGGAAGGTTTGGGGTGGTGTTTTCCTAGAGTCTCCCTGACCACTCAAAAATGGGGGTCGTTACCCCGTGTTTAAAGGGTCACGGAGACTCCAGGTGTTTTTTTTCATCGAGAGAGGCAAAGCAGCTGCTGGGCTTTGAGACCTTGTCCACCACCTCCCGGCCCTACCAGAAGTTCTTCCCCGCCGCACAGCCCCCGAAAGCGGCGGACACCGCCTACGCCATCAAGCTGCTGCACCAGGCGACGGAGTTTCTTGCGATTTTGGGACATGTTTGGACGGGTGGCTCGTCTGGTTGATTTTTGGGAGTTGGTACCCCCGGTTTTAGGTGGTTTTAAGAGGAAAACCGAAAACCAAAAACACACACACACACATGTTGGGGCTCCCCTAAGAAAGAGCCCACTTCAGCTCAGATTTGAACACCTGATGGCGTCTATTTCCCGAAACCGTTTTCCTCTAAAGGGCGGGAAACCCTTTGACCTAGAGAAATGGAACCACTGGGCTACTCACTGCCTGAGTTGGACTTTACTCACTTGAAGATTTCAGTGGCAAACCAAAAAGGTTCGGGGACCTGGAGTCCTTCTGACCCTGGATAAATTGGGTCTTGACCCCATTGTTTTGGGTCATGACCCCACTTTTTAGAGGTCAGAAGGAGACTCCAGGGACTTGTTTTCCGGAAGGGGAGCCCCCTAAAGGAAACCGCATGGGATGCTTTGTAGGGGTCATTCTAGCATTCTCTGTTGAGAATCAGCAAGAGGCCATGTTTAAGCCGAAAAAGGGAGTTGTTTGCCAAGGGGAGTTGTTGTTCTTTTGCTGACCCCTTTGTTGTTTTATTGTCGACTCGTATTCGGCACCTTTTTCAATCTCTTCTGAACTCATTTAATTTCATGTCCGAACCAGATGGAGCAGCTTCTGGTTGAATCGTCGATAACAACTGGCGCCGGAGTTTGTCCACGAGGTTTGCACGCTGCTTATCCCTCCTGTCCGACCGAAGGAACTCACCCCTCAACCAATCCGCCGGACAGCCGGATAAACATACTCCCCGAGTCCAAAGACTTTTCGGGGCATCCGCTCCAGTGAGTAAAAGGCCCCAGTATACTGTGAAAGCCTTCTCCTCCCAGAAGTTGTTAAAGCCTTCTCCTCCCAGAATGTTGTCCACTCCAGAAGTGGGTAGAGTATAATGTTAACGTCGGATTCGATTGTAAGCTCTTCCGCCTCCCTCCCGAAAGGTCAAGCCTCAGACAAAGCAGTCGGTTTGGGGTTCAGGCAGGCCGCCATTAAAACAATGTTTGGGCTGATACAACCACCATTGTTTTCCCAAGGGTTGTTATCTAAATCGGGTTCTTGCTGGGTCCTTGCCATTCTTTCATGGGAATCAGGTGAACCCTTATACGTATTTATCAATCCGATGTGAACATTATTTGGGTGGTTTTCCATTTACCCTCTACAAGAACCAGGGCTTTAAATCCCCAACCCTGAAATCCAAAACACCAACCCTTAACCCTTTGTGGGTAAATCGGAAACCACCCCCCCCGCCCCCTAACCTCCGAACACACCACCACCAATCAGCCAGAAACTGTTTTTCTTGCACCACTTCGCTTCTTTTGCCCTTGGGGAGCCTCAGGCAAACAGGGAGCGTGCTTTCGACATCACCGCCTGCGTGGCGGATAGTTTTAATGCTGCCGGGACCCCAGCCAACAGGAAGAACATAGGGTACCTGGACCCTCAAACTTCCATAAACAAGGAAATTCACCACACCATTTTGGGGCGATCACCAATTTTTCAGGGAATTCTGAGGGTGTCGGGAGACCAATTATGAAACAGATGCTGCAAATCAGATTTTCTGTGTACCCCAGATGCGGGCCAAGAAATCAGCATTCAGTAAACTCAAGGACATTTCAGGAGGACCTGCTTTAGTGGTATCTCAGGTCCCTGTAGTGCCGCCCTGCGTCTCCGATGGTGAACGAATGTTTTTGCCGTGGTTAGGGTTCGCTTCAAAAGAGAACCATCAAAAGCCTTTGATTTGTATAAGTCCCCTTTTTTCTCGCGGGTGGGGGCCTTTCATTGGTGTTGAAGGGACGCAAACAGGAAATCAATTTGATTCCTATGAGACAACCCCTTTTCGCCCCTTACCGATATTTTGATTCCGGTTTTTTTCGGCCTTCTTCCGGGCTGTCAATTCAACCCAGAAGTTATTCACATTTAGCAGGGGATCAAAAAACGGACAGCCCAGTTTTGTCTCAGGAAAGGACCTTGGGTTTAGAGCCACTGGTTGGATAAGAAGCTAAATGAAACATGGTCTCTAGTCTGTTCTTTGTTGGCGGTGCCAATTTCAGGCAACCCTTAGCTGGTTTGGATTGGTGGTTTCGGGACTTGAACTTTTGGTTCTTGTATAAATTGGTTAAGGTACCCCCTGGTTCCAAACCATTTCACCCCCTCCTAAACCACCAAACCACCAATCCAAATCACCAATCAGAGGGAGGCTGAATTTCTCACGCATGGCGGGGTCTTTTGGGCATGCTAACCTTCGATTTGCTGAAATTAATATGGGTATGGGTCAAAATTTGACCACCAGGGGACCGCAGGTTTTAGTCCTTGGTTCCACTTACCAGCGCAAGCCATTTTGGGGTTACCCCATTTTTGGCCACCACGGCCATATTTTCGGATTTGTTCCCCCTGGTTTCACAGGAGTTGGAAGCTGACCATTTGAGCGACTTCGCGGGATCCGGGGCCCCGAGCTGAGGCCGGCTTCTTGGTGCGGGTGCTTCTGCAGGTCCGCGCCTCTGGCAAGGGCTGCCCTGATCCCAGGCGACGGACCCGAGCGCTCGGGTGGAAATGTTGTGATCTCTTCGGAGCTGCGGGTGTCCGGTCGAAACCAAGCAAAAAGGGGGCTATAGGAGGCAAAAGACATACAAAAAAAAAAAAAACACGAAGTGGTTGGTGAGTGGGTCTGATTTGTGGCCAAGTTAGGGAAGTGGTGATTGCCACTTGGGTTCTAAGACACTAATAAGAGGGCTAACATGGGCCAACCCCAGTGAGGGTGACTTACAAGCGGGTTGTGACTTGTGACTTACTTGGCGAATCGAACACCCAAGTACTGCCCCCTACTCACAATACCCACTTGTTTAGGGGTATGCTGTGACAGCATGTCAGCTGACTAAGAAAGGCGGTACTTACCATGGAAAACTGGGTTCTTCTAAAGTACACCCTGAACACCGTGGGGTAGTTGGGGGGGCAGTTTGAGGGTCCAAAAATGGCGTGATCACCTTCCATTTCCATCTCCCTAAGGGGCCACTGAGTATTATTGCGGGCAGCACTCGTGGTTTGCCCGGAGGCACTTAAACCCGAAACCTAAACCGGAACGTGGAGCAGAGTGGCTCTGGGCGAACCACACGTGCTGCGGGTATTATTGCTTGGGCGTTCGGTCAAGTTAGTACATTCTTAGTACCCTAGCTTATAACCCCCTTGTAGGTCTCCAGTGGGGTTATGACCTTGTTCTATGGGGGGGTATTACCCCACATGGCGATCACCACTTACTAACTGGGCAAATCGGAGATCCAAGTAACTGGGTCAAACTACCCATAAAGTAACACGTGGGATGGCTTAGGAAGGAATTGTGGGTTGCAACAACTTTTTAAGTTGGAATTTTTGAGGGTCCAGGAAATCTTCCAAAATTACACCCCGGGACGTAAATTTTTAAGTTGGAATGTTGGGGCAATCATTTTTTCGGGTCCAGTTGTTCCCTTGGTTTGCGCCAGGAAATGTGCCATCGGCATCTTGAACGTCATCTCTTCCTTCTCGTGGATTTCGCAGATGTCGCCCGCGGGCCCAGCGAGTGGGAGATACTGTGGATGGACAAAATCCCTTTTGCTCCACTTTGAAACCATGGGAAACCAGTGTTACAGGGGAGTCGAAGCCTTAGGTGGTTTCTTAGGTGATGCGAAATGGATTTCGTCCATGTATTGAGTCACCGGTTTAAGCGTCGCGAGAAAGGCAGTCGCGAGTTGCTGCCGCAAGTTCCCTGAGGATTTTAGGCTGGTTTTTGGGTTGGTGAAAGGTGGGTGGGTTTTTCTTTAACCAGCTACAGTTAAACTTGCAGGGGATCTGAAGGCAGCCCAGGTAAACTACGATTTGGGTCTGTCTTTTTTCGAGGGCACCTTCTTTTTGGTGGTTTTAGAGGGAAACCAGAAAAACCTGGAAATTTGGGGGGCCCCCTAAAGAGGACACCCGCTTTTGCTCAAGGATATGTTTTTTCCTGTTGGTTTCAAAGGGAATCCATCACTATTGGACATATCTGTTTTTTTGCAGGGGACGTATTTGCAAATCGAGGTATATAAACAAGTGATAGGTTCCATGTTCAATCGCTTTCTGCCAGGACCCTATGTCTATCAAACATCACGCGACTTTGGGGCTGTGGGGGTAGAGTTTTGAGGCGCTGGAACATAAACATATTTCTCTGTGTGCCCCAGATGTGAGCCAAGAAAAGTCATTGGTCACGACCCCATCTTGAAATGGTCGTGGAGGCTCCAGCTTGTTTGACTTGTGTTGCAAAGAACAGGCGTGGTCAGTTGCTCCCCTTATAAAAGGCGTCCCCCCATATTCAACAACATATTTGCGCGGATCCCAGTGCAATCCTTTGGCTTCTTCCATTTGCTTAAGAATATCTGTTATTTTCCCTTGTTGGCTTTAAAGGGGTTCGATTTCACTAATTACTGAGCATATTTGCTCATTTTACTTGGGCGGGTGCAGAAGCACATGGAAGGTTTGAGCTTGGAAAGCTTTTGTTTAGACGCCATGCTTGCTTACTTTTTTCCAGCGGGCGAAGAAGCGAGTGGAAGGTTTGATGGGGGAACGACACATGCAATCTCCGGCGGTTTGGCTTGGAAAGAACCTGTCTGAGGCTGCTTGCAGTGTCGGACTGCACGGAGGAGGGCTCGAAGAACCTCCGCTGCATGGTGCTTCCATTGGTTTAAGAATATGCTTGTGTTGTTTTAGGGGACCCTTCCTGCAAAAAAAACTGACAGTTCCATAAATACGATGAAAATCGAAGCAATGGTGGCGTTCCTTTTGGCTTCCCTTTAAGGCCAAGAAAGGGCCCCTCTAAAAGAGACAGAGTCATATGGCTGTGGTGGTCAAAACCGTTTTGGGATCCCATTTTGGTTGGCAGGTGAATTCACCACCCATTTTAGGACCGATTTTAGTGGTTGGATTGAATCGGATGTTCACTGGGGGCTAACCGATTTGGATTTTGACCCATGGCCATATACTGGAAATAGAGTTAATGCTTCCCAGAATGCTTAAGCAAATGGAGAATCGCGGAAGTTGACGGTTGCAAAAGGGACAGTCTTCCAAAGCCCTCCTGTCAGCTTCCATGATTGTTGGAGGGAGTGTGCCTTTGACTTTGTGTGAACCATGCCCAGTGGATCCCAGACGTTCCACAACTATAGCAGATAGCCCGCAACATCCCACGAACCGTTGTTTGATACTTTCCTGAAGCGGAAGGGAACGGAGATACTGGACCAGTGACTTGGTTCCTTAGTAACCTTTTGAAAACCAGCGGCTTTTGCACTGAACCAACAGAAGGTCCTAAGCTCTCTCTGACAACGCTAGCCGTGGGAGAGGTTTGTTCTTTCCAAACAATTTGAACTCCTCCTGGGCAAGAGGGCTCCAAAAAACTAGCATCACAAACCTTGGGACAGGTTGGGTTGTTTTGTTCACCAACAAATGTTCAGCCTTTTGCGGGGACAATATGGCTATGTGTTTTAAGAGAGGGAACAACCTAAAAAGTGGTTGCACATGAATCCCCACCAATTGTGATGCCCACTAAAGGGTCCCGGACCCATGAAGCTTTCATAAAATCATGGAATCCCCGAAAATGGCTTCGGTCGTCCTTTAATAGGGGGGCCCCAACCATGGCTTTGGTTTTTCTTTTGGTTACTTTTCAAAACCTGAAAATGGTACCAACTCGAAGAAACACAGACCCAAGAGCAGACATTTGACCCCAATTGCAAGTGATTCACACTACCCCGCTTGCAAGTAAAAACAAAAAGAAAACACCGAGGTTTGGGAGTTTGGGGCTGCCCATGGCAAATGACTGGGTTTTCTTCAGCATTCTCCATGTTCCCCCTCTTGGGCCCAGCCCGGTGTTCAGGCCCCCCCCATTGGTCCCTTAGAAAACGCAGACCCAGCTGAACGTTTTGATCGCCGGGCAAAATTGGTTGTTCTTTGCCTCAACCCGGGCAATATGGGCGTGCCCTTTGATTTAAGGCTGCGCATGTTCTGTGAAATATGGAAATCCCCACTAAACCCTAAGACTACTGAAAAGCTATCGGATGTCTGGGAGCCACACCAAGTTAAGGAGCAGCCAACACTTCAGGGTAAATTAGGGGTAAATAGGCTCTAAATATAGGTTCGCCATTTGGGTTATAACCCCCCCAGATCACAAGGTTAACCCCACATTCACGGGGGATTTATAAGTGGGGTATGGCCCACGCTGCCAACTTGGGTGAATCGGAAGAAAACACTAAAGTACCCTTTTCACTGCTTGACTGCTAGTGGGTTGGATCTGTAGACTTTAACTTTTTGGGAAATCAAGGGGTTTTCCACCAAACCCCCCCAAAAAGCAAAACAAAAACACACTGCAAGGGGGTCAACAGCAACCAAGACTGCTCCCCGCCCCCCTATGCGTCCCCCTGGCCATAGGAACGCCTTGTGCGGCGCCGACATCTCCGCGTTGGTGGCGGCGAGCACCATGGGCCCAGCTGCGGGCATGGCCACCGTGTCAGCGCCCTCGGCTGGTTTGGGCGAGTGGGAGGAGCCGAGGCGAGTGGGAGGCGCCATGTGGGTGGCTCGTCCTTGTTGGGTTTGGAACTTGGAGCCATAGTATCGATGTGTATGTAGGCGTAAATGTATTATATATGTATAGAAAGTACCTGGAGTCTACTTCTGACCCTTTAGAAATGGGGTTACCCAAAGTTAAGGGGTTAGTACTCCAATTGTTTCTACCGGCCATGGAGACTCTAGGAACTCCTTGTTGGTTGCTGTGAAAGGGAAACCTAAAGGGACACCGAAGCCATTTTGGGGGAGCCCCGAAGAGAAAGACACACCCGTTTTAGTCAGAGGGTAAGGGACTGTCCCAACCTGTTTGATGCGGATATCCGCCTTTGGAGAAGTCTTTACATGGTTCTGGGTAGACCATTTTAACAGCGATCGGTTGTGATTATACTCATTTGGGGTACTCGGTGGCAAGCCCAGCCATCTGGTTTGTTAGGTCTTTTGTGGTTTGTAGTTGGTTTAGTGGTAGTTTTCATTTAAGCCACTAAACATTAGTGAGGACAGCCCAAAGCATAACCCGCTTACAACCGCTTGTAACAAGGTGGGGCACCAATCAGGGGACTTATGAGTGGTTTATAGCGGAACGGGTACCAACAACTTACTACCTTGGCAAATCGGACACTCAAGTATGGAATCCCGAAAAAAGGTACAGGAGAGTGGGTAGTTGAGAGAGCTAGATTGCTCAGAAAGCCCCACAAACCCAGATTTCCTTAGTGGGGAGTATGCTGGAAGTTGATTGTGTATGGTTGATTTAGCGAAGAGTGAATTTGCCTGTGTTTGGGAGGGGGGGTGTACCCTTGGCTGATTGTAAAGAGATCGTCATGGGTGTGGGCATCATCATTGGCAAACTGATAGTTTGCCAAAGGTTAGAATGAACCACCCCTAGGGGTGAGGTTTGCAGGTCGGGCGACGGGGTTGGAAGGGTTGTGCTGGGTCCCACAAACAGGGTTGGGCATGGCCAGAACATGGTTTCAGGGGCTCTTTAGGGATGTATATGCTGTGTTCTTTTGGGTTCGGCGTATGTTATAGTTTAGTGTGTGGATTTGCTTTGTTATGTCATTTTCAGGGATAATTGACTAATTGTGGGTTGGCCGTAACTGTGTTTCCGGCAACCCTTAGTTGGTGGTTTTTTGTATTGCTGGTCTGGATCCATATTCGAACCCCAGCTGCTTTTTGAAGTCAAATGGTTTCTTGGCAATTCCCTAAGGTCCAAACCACCAAACCAAAATCAAACTACCTAAGGTTTGGTGGACCTAGTGAAATGGTGTCTTGGTGGTTTCTAAGGTCCAAACCACCAAACCAAGATCAAACTACCTAAGGTTTGGTGAACCTAGTTAAATGGTTTCTCGGTGGTTTCTATTGTCCAAACCACCAAACCAAAATCAAACCACCTAAGGTTTGGTGGACCTAGTTAAATGGTTTCTTGGTGGTTTCTATTGTCCAAACCACCAAACCAAAATCAAACTACCTAAGGTTTGGTGGACCTAGTTAAATGGTTTCTTGGTGGTTTCTAAGGTCCAAACCACCAAACCAAACCACCAAATTTACACGCTGACGCGACACAGCCGGCCACCGGGCACCTTGCCTTGCCCGTTCTGTCACTTCCCTTTCCGGTAAGTCCGATGAGTAGATGTTAAGATTTAAAAATTCTAAACACTTTGAGATTCTAAGGGTCTCAGATTTGGAGACTTTTGGAATTTAAGGCTTCAATGGTTTAAGAATTAAGGTTTTAAGATTCAAAGACTTAAGGTGTTTGAAAGTTATAACAGCCAGGCCATTGCCCAGCCATTTTCCATCCATTATCAGATTTCGAAGGCTTTAAGATTTTATTTTTGGTGAGATTGTCAGATTTGGCGACTTTCGGAATGTAAGATTTTAAGATCTTAAGATGTCAAGACTTCAAAATTTCAAGATTAAGAGTTTAAGGAATTTAGAATATAGCCCGGATTGAAGGAATTTTATTATATTTTACTTGTTTATGAATTTAAGATTTTCAGATTGCAATAGTTCGAGATTTAAAGAATTTAAGTTTTTGAAGCTTTTAAGATTCTGAGATTTTAAGAGTTTGAGAATTTCGGAATTTCATATTTTAAGATTTTAACATCTGAAGATTCAAAGACATGAGGGTTTCTGTCACTTCCCTTTCCTGTAAGTCCGATGAGTAGATGTTAAGATTTCAAAATTCTAAAAACTTTGAGATTCTAAGGGTCTCAGATTTGAAGACTTTCGGAATTGAAGGTTTCAATGGTTTAAGAATTAAGGTTCTAAGATTCGAAGATTTAAGGTTTTTGAAGGTTATAACAGCCAGGCCATTGCCCAGCCATTTTCCATCCATTATCAGATTTCGAAGGCTTTAAGATTTTATTTTTGGTGAGATTTTCAGATTTGGCGACTTTCGGAATTTAAGATTTTAAGATCTTAAGATGTCAAGACTTCAAAATTTCAAGATTAAGAGTTTAAGGAATTTAGAATATAGCCCGGATTGAAGGAGTTTTATTATATTTTACTTGTTTATGAATTTAAGATTTTCAGATTGCAATAGTTCGAGATTTAAAGAATTTAAGTTTTTGAAGCTTTTAAGATTCTGAGATTTTAAGAGTTTGAGAAGTTCGGAATTTCATATTTTAAGATCCCCAGCATCCCCCGCATCGCCAGCATGCATAACATCATCCGCATTATCCGGGATGATGCTGGCAATGCTGGGGGTGTTGTCCAGCATTAGGCACCCCCTAAAAATGCTCGTTTTTGGACTCGTTTTTGGGGTGCTACAAAAATCCTCGAAAATCGCCTAAACCAATCCGCGAATCCTTCGCTCCTTATAAGGGTGGGCCCAGCCCAAAACGTACCCGCATGGTCGGAGCATGGTCCGCGCAGCATGGGGCGCACGGCCTTATACCTGAAGGTAAGCCCTAACGGGCTTTGGCCTGCGGCCCGATCACGTCCGGTGGCCGGATTTAAGGGCTGCCGCCCAGTGCCGCCGACCCCTTCACCCTCTGCATCTCCAATCGGCTCTAACGGGACTTTTGAATCGTATATGAAAAAGATAAGGATCCTCATCATAATCATGTCCACGCATGATGATGATGATGATGATGATGATGATGATGATGATGATGATGATGATGATGATGATGATGGTGGTGCTGATGATGATGATGATGATGATGATGATAATGATAATGATATGAAAAAGATTGCAGATGATGATGATGATGATGATGATGATGATGATGATGACGATGATGATGATGATGATGATGATGATGATGATGATGATGATGATGATAACTATCATCGTAGCATCCTCTGCATCTCCAATGGTGATGATAACTATCATCGTGGCAACGCATCCGCAGCACCCTTCCCGTGCGCCTCCCCCTTTCAGGAGCAGGGGTCGGCGGATTTAGGGCAACACTGAGTGTCGGGTCCCATCTCGGGCGCTGGGAGCCCATGACTTGGACACTGCCACGGTGCCACTTAGGCGCGCCAGGAAGCCATGACATGAAACCTCACTGGTCCCTGTAAAAGGAAGATGGTTTTGGGAGGGGCTAGGTCCCCAGGTTCCATGTGTGAAAAGGGTGGGAGGCTACGTCTTGTTCTTTCATTTTTTTAATAAGCGTATCATGTGTTGTCCCATTGAATATCATTATATAAGCATACCTTCTATGGGTGGTCGCGACACAATATATAATTTTGACACAAACCTAACCATGAGACAACTACCTTTCAACATGTGTTGAATCTGTTTGATTAAATATACACGTGATAGACAAAACAACGATTAGGGGCCTTTGTTGGAGCTTCGTGAGGGAAAAAGGCTGGGACGGCTGGTGAAGGAAGGCGTGCGCTGTACAGTAATGCAGTGGGCGTCTTTGTTCAATCCAACAATGTGTGGTCCGAACATGAGGAAACTATGTGGTTCAAGTCAAAGCTGTGAGACGCAAAGTGGAGTGGCCTGCAACCGTTTTTGAAAATGGCTTCTCAACTGTGTATGTGATGTTGCTTCTTGCCACTCAGCAGAAACCTAAACGGAACACAGTCCCAGCGAAGGGCATTCCCCCCAAAAGGTGCATGTGTCCCGTGGTGAAATGTATGGTGGCAGGCCTCACCTTTTCAAGGTCTGGGGGTGAACTACCCAACATAAAATCGACCACTGGTGGGTGCAGCCCATGTTGGCAAACACAAATGGGTACCTGGAGGCTCCATGACCCTCCGTTTTTTGCCTCCGAAGATGCCCCCCTTATTTTCAGGGCCATGCGGAAAAAAAAGGACAGTTTAGTAGGAAAAAGGGTCCCTCCTTTCATGTTACAAAGTCTTCTTGGATCTTTGTCACAGTTCCTGTCAGAGTTTGTGAATTGGATGCAACAGTCACAAGCCGGCGACAAGGAGCAATCCAAGATCCGAAGTCAGCTTCGCCACGCAACTCTGAAACATTTGGTTGTTTGGAAGCTCCCTTTCCAGTCGGGCGGTCAAAAACAACCACGGAAGAATCATAACTTTCTAAACCCTCGAGTCATGAAAACTGTTGTAGGCAGAAACCTGCAAATCCATGACAACCTTCGACCCCACAACCCCGCCCGCTGCCCGCCCATGTTGCGCTGGCGATCGGCTTTGTCGTCATCTTGGTCCGGCGCCGCCCTAAGATATGTGCGTAATCGCACACACAGTTCCTGAAAAGCGTGGACACGGCCACGCAATTAATTTGTTGATTCTCAGATGGATTTGCCAGGGAAACCGTTTGTTCGTTGCGCGTATCTCGCTTGACTGGTCCATGCATGAGGGTGGGTTCCTCCTGGTTACCCTCGATGGGATATGTCACAAAGAAACCATGCAATCACCTAAGCAACTTTTGGAGCACGATGATTCACAAGAGCGTGCGTGGCTCTCCCTGGCTAGTCGCCCCGCCACACAAAGTGTAGCTTGAGCAAATAGCGTTCTATACACCGCAAGGTCGTGCTACTAGCATGCACAGCCCGGCTCAGCCTCGCGAGCTTGCCGATGTAGTCTTCGTCGGCTTCTGCGTTGTGCACTGCCGGATTTAAGATGCTGCTGGCGCCAGCCGCGATGGCTCCAGACAAGTCCATGTAGAAGTGGTGCATGGAGTGAAGGCTTGGCTCCAAGTGAAACCTCCGGAGCGACTTCTCAAAGCTCAGCTTGGCCAGCTGACTGTAGTTCTGCGTGAACTGCAGGCACCCCGTGGCCATTGACTGTGCCGCTGCCACATCCAACCACACACCCTGTGTGTGCAAGGTGTGAAAGAAGCGAAGGGCGCCTGTGCAGGCTCGCACAATGCACTCGAAGAAGGCTTTGTGCCAGATCTGCAGAGGGTAAGCCAGCGGGCTGCGCGTCTGCCTGCCGATGGGGTCTTCTGACTCAAGGAAGAAACCGTGCGTAAGCAAGTGCCGCAACCATCGTACCATGAGCATGCAGTCGCTGCCCTTGAAGCGCCCGTGCGGGTAGCTGTCCATGTTCGGAAAGTGGAAAAGCGCCTTTGTGAAATGCTTCATGTGCGTCACGTGCTTGCCATGCCATTCCTTGCAGGGAAGGAAGCTTTTGTGAGCGCAAGACGCTTCACACCCGGGCGCAGAAAGAACATACAACGACCCTTGCGTAAAGGTAGACTAGCGAAAAGTGTGATATTCATATACATGCTGCTGTGAGAACACACTTGGTTTGAGTTTTCAACAAAAAACAAGCCCAGCTCCTTCTTCACGAAGTGCTGAAAGTCATCGAAAGCCCGCGCCAGTTTGTTGTCAACGGCCGTGCTGCACCCCGGCCAGTAGCCCAGGTCGGTCAAAAGCACCACGGCGCTGGCCACGAAGTGACCGCCTATGGGCTGCTTGAAGACGTGGAACGGGTCTCTCCGGAAGAAGCCTTCTGGCAAGCAGAGCCTTGCTGGGATGGTTGCCAACGCGCCCGGCGAAGTCCAAGGAGGGACCAAACCAATGGTCTCAGCCCAAACCGGCGACGTCCCCACATCCTCGAACGGGTAGTCGTCTCGGCCAGCCAAGCATTCCCAGCAGCAGCCCTTGTTCTTGCCCATGTTCATGAACGACCGGTTGAAGTTGCCGGCTTTGACCAGCATCGGGGCGTCCGCCTTTAGACCAAGGCACACTGGGTAGAACTGTGTGCCACGCACCTTGACACCCTCGGTCATCATCTTGGTGCACTCCTGCGCGATGATCTCCAGGAAGCCCTCCATGGTGCGCTCGTTCTTGCCGGTGTACATCTTCTTCGGGAGGATGGTGAAGAGCAGGCGGCTGTTGTAGGTGTCACCCCGTGTGTTGTGGAACTGGCTAGCTGTCATGATCTGGTGCATAGACTCGTCGCTGACGTCAGTCCGGTCTCGGAAGGCTTGGTAGAAGCGCTCGGCCGTGCACTGCCCAAACACCGGCTGGGCGCTGATGATGAGCACAGCGCTTTTGCGAAGTCCTGTGCCCTCGTCCATGTGCAGGTAGAACGGCACGCACTGGCTGAGCTGGCCAGCCTGCAGGGAGTAGACGGCGTGCTCACCCATGGTCTGCTGGAGGTTCGCCCAGAACGTGTCCAGAAGAAGCGTCGCGTTGCCACTGTCGTAGTTGAAGCCCCCCAGCAAGAATTCCGGCTTGTTTCGCAGCAGGAAGGGAAACCACGTGCTGCTGAGGCTCAGGTACTGGACCTTGAGGCTTCCGAAGCTGCACGTGGAAATTCCAAGAGGCACTGCAAGCTTGCGCTTTCTGAACAGCCTGTGGAGGTCCCTCTCTGCGTTGTTGAGGTGCCGAGTGTTTGCAGCCCGCCTGAGCTCCGCCAAGTCCTTCTCGCACACACTGCCAAACTCCTTCAGCGCGCTGTTCGCAAACTTCTTAATCCTTGTGGCCGGGGCCTAGGCGCCGAGTGGCCATATGGTTTTAGACACACAGCCGTGCTATTAAGTCCGCTCCATTTGGCATCGGCTTCTAGCCAAAGTTGCTCCGTCCGCCAAGGAGAGCGCCAGGTTCTGCAAAAGGCAGCCTGCCTCCACGTTGCTTTGACCTGGCACACATGTGTGCAATCAAACGCTTTCTTCATGTAGCTCGCTAATTTGCCCGTGTGCTGAAATGCAGGCGAGCGCGTAGCACGGAAACAAGATACAGTTCGCTTGTTTTTCCTCTTCGCGCGATACCTCATTTCTAACTCTATAGGACTTGCCAGCGTTCCTAACGCATAGTCTGCCCACAGCGATGTTACCCGCAACAGGTTCATGAGTATAAGTGAGATCTGGACAGATACACTCACCCCCAACACTTGAAAAAAAAGTGTTTTAGACCTCTTTTGACAGCTAGCTCGCTAATGGCAAACTAAGATGCACTGGCTCACCCAAAACTGGTCCAAAAATGAACCTTTTGCGACTACTTGCGAGCACCACGCTTGGGTGCCCCCTTTGGCTTCGGCTCTGCCTGAGGCCCAGCAGCCGCCTTCGGCTTTGGCAATGCCTTCGATTTAGCCTTTGGCTTGGCCGCAGCCTTTGCGGCAGACTTGGGGAGAGGGATGCTCTTGGCACGCGTTTCCAAGGTCAGAGACTCCTGCGCCCTCAGTGCGCAGGCGCATATAGCGCCATTGAACAAGCAACTTTCACAGATGCCAAAAGAGTTTAACTCGCGTGCATGCCACGTGCTCAGGCCATGGACTGAAGCAACCGAGTGGCTCTTTCTGAGCCTTCTTGTAAACGGAGGTGAGCTTCTCCTCGTTCCTTAGATGTCAAATCTAAGTCCCATAATTTGCCTCCACCCCCAAGCCCTTGCAAGCAAATCGCACAGGTTCAAGTGGAACTGTTCGACGGTGCTGCGATTTGTTGAGCGGCTTCGCTAGGGCAGCTAAGGTTCGCATCCGTGTATCCCTCCACTGCGCCATGCGAAAACACCGTGTTGATTTCTGAGTGGATTGTGTCAAGGGTTTGGACCTTCTCCTCAAGTTTGATAATCAGCCTCAGAGTTGCAAAGCGAAAAGCAATCGTCCTGAGGTTTTGGAAAGTAAAGAGCAACCGCCATCAAGCGAACCCTCAAGTAAACCAAGCCCACTGTATATATGTGTTAAGACAAAAACCAAATCGTTTGTTTTACCAGTGAGGGTAAGGACAATCGCCGAACGGAGTCAAGAAGCGCAGATTGTGCGGGTGTGCGGCTTTCCTCGGGAATAGCCTCGTACTTGTTCTTCAGTTCCTGAAGGACCCTGCTGGCAATTCTGGAGGTGAAGTTGCAGCTGCAAAGAAACCCAAACGGCCCCATGGAGTTTAAGAGGGTTTTCAATCTTTCTGGACGTTTCCACCTTCAGGGATGTGCTGCCCAGGCCAGTTTTTTTGACAAGGGGCAGCCACCTTCATCGCCCGTTTGGTCACCCCTTCCATGTACTTAACGATCACCTCCGAAGGTTTCTCATTTTTCAGCACCCTTGGAAGGGTAGAGGCGGGGGCAGCGCTCTGAGGCTTTGGTGGCGTCTGATTGCTGCTGCCAGCTTCGCCACCAGTGCCTTGGATTGGATAAGTGTGGCTTGGTGGCCCGAAAGGCGCTAGCTGACAACGCTAAGAAGGAGTCGAGGATCCGTTAGTTGGCTTTTTGGTCAGACCGTCTTGGGGCAACCCGACTTTGAAGCGTCACAGCAATATCAAGACGGTGCAGGTGCCAATCACAATGTGTTTTATTTTGTCGCGTGCACACACGCAATCAACTTGTTGGAGATTTGGCGCATGCAGTTCTTTCCCGCGAGCCACTTGCCACCGCACGCTAGCTTAGATGGAAATGGTCTGGAAGGGGTAGGGTAGGCCTTCAAGAACAGGGCATGCGGTAACTGTGGATGTTCTGCAGCCGGCTTTCAATTAAGCAAGCTTCCGGCATCCCACCCCAGGGGGTGGCACAAGAAGTCTAAACACAACGTACACAAAATGGGGCCCTTCTTCAGGTGAGGCCGCTTCGCCGCCTGGAGCTTGGTTCCGACAGCCAGGGCTATTTCGAAAAATCCTAATTAACATGCACTCCAGCAAAGCGCTGCTACACGAATTCGTGAAAACAGCGAGGATTTTTATCCCCTGCCAAAGCTCCCGCTTGTCATGGCTGTATCCATAGCGGGGGTGGTTCCATCGAACAATGGGGTTCGAGGTGATCCCTACCTTGAACACGGCCGGGTGGCGTTGCCACAAACGCTTGACAGCCTCCTCCGAATGTTTGAAAATGCTACTGGCGGTCGCCTTTGGGTTTTTGCACAACTCAAACGACAGCTTCCCATTGCAGTAATCGGACTCTGTGCACATGGGGAGTACCTCTGTTTGCAGTCTGTTCTGTGACAGCACGTCGCCCCGCAAGGATTGCAGCCAGAAGAAGCGGTACCCTGGCGAGGCCTGGGTTGCATCATCCGCAGAGATGGTTGGGTGAACACATTGCCCGCCTTCAAGACAAACCAGCTTCCTCTTAAGTGAACAGTTCTCATCAGGAAGGTGAGTAGCAGGCTGAGGTGTTGACCCTGTAAGTTCATCCGCGTCTGTGTCCCAAAGGATTGAGGCTAGAGATCGCAGCATTTTGGCAATTGCTGGGACCCCTGCTCACTGAATTAAACTGGACGGCCTGCAGTTTTGAACAAAAGCGGTATGGCGGACGGCACTTGCTGATAGAAAGCAATAATGTCGACTCCGCAAACTGATCATTGGGAAACTCCCCATTTCCCTCAAAAGGTGCAAAAGCTCAAAAGGGAAATGGAATAGGGCGCCCTTTTAATCACAACCCTCCCCCAAACGGTCAAGAGAGAACACCGTGCGAAATGAGATGGTTTCCCGCAGTACGACCCAAGGTCCCCAGCGCTAAACTTGAAACGCTTCCAAATATGGGCTTGGGGTTGGTTTACCGGAAAATGAAAGGGGCCCCAAGCCAAGTCACACCAAGCCTTTTCACTCCAGCTTATGATATCACCAGGCCTAAGGCCAAAGGCTGGAATCAAGCACAGAACAAACAAGAAACACCCCCCCCCCCTCCTGTGAGTTGATCTGCCCCCCCCCCCCACTGAAAAAATGAAGGTTCCATTTCGGACACGCTGCTGTTGAGTCATTGTTCCCATCACTGTGTTGCTCTGCATAGTTTGAAGGGCGCAGGCGTGTCCAAAATGGAGCCCTGTTCGACACGGGCAGCGAAGGGAACCACAAGAGGTCAAGCGCAGTATATGGTAAACATTTTGACATATTGTTCGACCACTCTTTGGGTGACATCGGGCACACGCTCATTTGCCATTTGTTGGAAAACTGGACGGTGCCCTTCAAAATCTTGGCTCCTTGTACCTTTCCCTACCAAGTACCTTTTTTTTAAAAAAAAGGGTCACGCCGTCGGACGCGTCCCGGACGGACGGGTTTTCCCGCCTTTTGGACGGGTTTTTCCGCCTTTTGGACGGGGAAAAAAGGCAGGGAGGATGTGTGGGATTAAAAAAAGGTGTCACGGACGCCCCCCAGACGACGGACCCGGACGCAGACGGACGGGCGCAGCGCAGACGGACGGACGCAGACGGACGCGCAGACGGACGAACGCTGGACGGACGACTGCCAGACAGACCCACACGTCGGCGGAAGGCAGACGGACGACGGACGCCCCTCGGACGGATCCCTGCATGACACACGCGGACGGATGGACAGACGGTCGACGGACGCACGCGCCTCGGACGCAGGACGAGTCGGGACGCGGACGCCGGACGGACGCCCTCGAAGGACTGCCGGAAGACGGACGGACGGACAGATGCCGGACGGACGTGCTATGCCCAGACGAACTGGTGACGGACGCCCCTCGGACAGACAGCTAGCTCGGACGGGCCAGCGTCACACACTTGGCCACAAAGTCCACTGTTGGTCACCACCCCAAACACTTATTCGGGCTTCCCCACCTGGGAAGAATAACCCCAACAAAGTTCCAGCTTTGAATTTGGAGGGTGCGAAACAAAAACAAAAAGGAGAGACTTCTGGCTGCCAACAAAGATCCAGTCTCATCACAAACCCTTGAGGTTGGGCACTGCTTGCCAAAAATGGATGTGCAAGGCACTAAATGGGTTTGAACCTAGGGAAGTTCTTCACGCACAGGAAACCTCAAAACCAAAGAAACTTAAAGGCCGCCCTCGAATGTTGGCGGGGTGGTGTGGGCTTGTTCCCCAGCTATGTTTGAAACCAAATGGGGAAAGCACCCCCAAACCAAGCCACAAAATAGATGGAAGCCCCTCCAAGGAGACCGCCTTTTCCTCAACCTTGCCCAATCCAAATGCTGGCCAGGGCTTTCATCCGGGTCTGAAAACCAACCAACTATAGAGCCACTTGTTGCTGGCCAATTTGTCTATCGGCAAGCTAAATCGCAGTGGGCAAAACTTGCCGCCAAGAGGGCGACAAGCAGAGAAGCTTGGATCCCCTCACATACCTGATTGCGGACTCAAGGGATGCGTCGGACCACCCGTCTCCCCAGCTTATTGCCGCATACATGTCCGTGACACTGGTCGCCAGGTCAACCTTTGGGCAAAAGAGAGGGGGTTGCGTGGAATTTTGGAGGATGGGTCGGTGGCGTCTTTGTCCTTTTACTGAGGCGTTTGGATGTAAATATTGTTTTCGACCAACAGGATGGGACCGTGGAGGTGTACACACCCCGTTTTCAAGAAAAACCCTGGGGTGGACAACTTGCAGCCCAAATGTCCAGTAGGGTGTGCGCTAAGGGGGAAACAGAACTGGAGAGGAGTAGACACATGGCAACAGGTCTTCTTCCATAGGGTCAATAAGTGTTTCCCCTGACAATTCTTCCGGGTAGGAGCAACTTACAACAAAGGAACCATGAGATAGGCAGGAATGGAAACAAAAGTGAGTTGAAATTCTCTTCTGGAATTAGGACCCCAGCAAAGAAATATATATTTGCCCGGTTTGTGGAAAACAAAAAGAACCCCAAAAAAACGATAAACCAAAAAGTGGAGCTAACAGCTTCGGTTTGAGCAAAGCGACGGATGGTAAAGGGTCCCTGGTCTCTAGCTTGGCGTCCTCTGAGATCTGCACCAGCATGCCGGCGTATTTCCACGGATATAGCCTACAGTTTGCGGCACGCTTTAGGTTGATGTTTTTTGGCACATGGCTTCGGTTTACAGTCCTGCTTTACGATCGACCGAGGAACTGTGTGCCCTTCAATGCCGGAGTTCCAGTGTACCTTTGTTTGCCGTCGATCTTGGCAGTATACCGTCTTGTTGTGGCCACATCGGTTACCAGCTCGGCCCGCCTCATGGGTCCATGGTCGAGGCGATGGATGAGGGCCGAGTTGCTGTAAACAACTGTTCGTTTTGCAGTTGCGTGCCCAAAGGCGCGCATCCAGAAATGCTGAAGGAAGAACTTAGCTGAGCCAGGCGAACTAGGAAGTGCCAAACGCATGTCCCCCCAACCTAAAAAACATGTGCCAACACGAGCCACAACCACTAGTGCGGCCGCAGCTCGCGGACTTTGAACATCTCCAAGGT